TAGGCGGGGCGGTGGTACCTACCCGTGCGGACTCACAAGAGGTCCTACCACCAGTAATATAATAAAATATGTTATAGTATCAGTAATTCAGAGCAAAGACTCCTAGTCGAAGTATATCTGTATTTAATAAAACAATTACATTTTGAACCCTGTTTTGTGACTATACTTCTCGGCATTAGTTCGACCATAAATACACCAGAGGACCAAATTTATTCGGATGGTAATAAAACTTTTGCTGGGCGTATAAATTTCGCCCAGAATCTATAGAGCGACATTTTTATTACAGTTTGCGGGTACCAGGAATGCGTCCTCTGTAGCATCATTACCTCAGGGTAATTTAGGGTCTGAATAAGTTGAAGGTGAACCTGCCAACTCCGCGTTTGTATTGCATACAATTGTTCCCTAAATAAGGGAACAATTGTATAATATTAATGTTATTGTGGTTTTATAAATACTAGTGATCCCGCAGTAGTCGAAATTCGACTATAATTAACTGAAATTATAAGTTTGAATATTATTATGGTCCAATTGTCAAAAACTTATTATACTTCTTTAATCAGAGATCTCGCCAAGACTACACTTTAGACAAATATTAATAAAAACAAACATATTAATCTATTCTCAATTTTACCATAGACTTTATGCAATAAGAAAATTTTGACAATAAACAAATAGTATGCATGCGTATGTGTGTCAAATACACGGTAGTGTGTGTAATGTTTTCTTTATTGATTTAAAGTATATTTTATGCATTATTTAAAAAAAAAGTCGCATTGTGCACTCCTTCTCTATATTCTTTATAAGTGTGAGAAATTTCATAGTCCTCCGTCCGCGCAATTTTCGTAAAAAGGGGTACAAAAGCTTTTGCTTCACGTATTAATATATAGAAGTCCTTATTAACTATTCGAGATGATACCAGCATCTCGTTTTTACCATCGCACCGCCCGCCACCGGAGTAGAGTTCATCCATACTACCTGGAGCCACTGCGGTCATCCACAGTGCGTTTCCAGATATCTTTTCTGCCACGTAACATCCGGCTATGGAATGAGCTCCCCTCCACGGTGTTTCCCGAGCGCTATGACATGTCCTTCTTCAAACGAGGCTTGTGGAGAGTATTAAGCGGTAGGCAGCGGCTTGGCTCTGCCCCTGGCATTGCTGAAGTCCATGGGCGACGGTAACCACTCACCATCAGGTGGGCCGTATGCCCGTCTGCATACAAAGGCAATAAAAANCACGTACCATCCGGCTATGGAATGAGCTCCCCTCCACGGTGTTTCCCGAGCGCTATGACATGTCCTTCTTCAAACGAGGCTTGTGGAGAGTATTAAGCGGTAGGCAGCGGCTTGGCTCTGCCCCTGGCATTGCTGAAGTCCATGGGCGACGGTAACCACTCACCATCAGGTGGGCCGTATGCCCGTCTGCATACAAAGGCAATAAAAAAAAATCGTTTTGTTTTTTGGTTGTTGATGATTTACCTTGTGTTTATTACTGCTTATATTGCGCCTCTGAAATTTTGTACTGAATTCCTATCCTGGTGAGCGAGTAACGGAAAATAGACTTCCTAAGTTATTCTTGTCATTGGACTTATTGCACCTTGTTCTTTTTTTTTCTTTTTTTCCTACCTATGCTGATAGCCTTGAGAGGCTATTGTGCACCTTCGATGCGTCAATTCCTATATAAATACTAGCGGCCTGGTCCGGCTCCACTCGGATCTTTAACAAAAATTTCAACGATATTTGACGTTGTTTTATTTTTTTAAACAAAAGAACACTTAATGCGGCATAACTATAATAGTTAGACATACGCTGTTGCGACACTTTTTGTAAATAATAATGTGTTCTACAAAGTCGTAGTACATTATTTTATTCTATCATCAATAGTTTTCGCAGGGCACGCGATATAAATAATATTTTAGGTAATTTTTTTACACCTTAGGTTACATTATTGGAGTAGCCTATGTCACTCGGGGATAGTGTAGCTTCCAAATAGTGAAAGAATTTTTCAAATCGGTTCAGTAGTTTCGGAGCCTATTCAATACAAACAAACAAACAAATCTTTCCTTTTTATAATATAAAAATAATTAATTAATATTAATATTAGTATAGATGAAATAATTGTGGCTTCGACCTCATGTCTCAAGACGGATGATGGCATTCACGTTGATAATGTCTACGGGCTCCGGTAGCACTCACATCACTAATTACTTTAAGTCAAACCAAAATAAACATATTCTAAAATCACGGAATATATATATTTTATAGAGAAGTTTGACTCCAGCGCCTCTGGCATTGATTTGCTAAAGTCACAGTATGCACAAAAATGACTGGTGCTTAGAGATAATTTTTTTACAAAATACAAATAAGTTTGATCAGTTTTTCCATACGCAAATCTGTGATTTTTAGAACATAAACAAATATATGTTAGACTAACTACTTTGTAAATAAATATTATTAGCACATAAAACGTTACATAGAATATTTACATGTTTAGAATAGACTAAAGTTAATAGAGGGGATGCCTTTTAGAAGGATATCATAAAGAGGGGATACGATATTGGGACAGTCGAAGAAAATGAATATTATATGAAAAGGTGTAACATTCTTTTTCATTTCTAATTCGCTTATTCAATTAGAACTATTTTTCCGACTGCTTAAATTTTATTCAGTACATATGTAACTTTATTATGAGATGTATGTTAAGAGACCATGACGACCCTACATAATATAGTCTAAGGGCAAGAAGATATGTAAGTTCACCTACAAAGAAAGATATAAAATTTCTTCATATTTAATTTCGGAATAAATTATACCATTTACTGGTGGTAGGACCTCTTGTGAATCCGCGCGGGTAGGTACCACCGCCCTGCCTATTTCTGCCGTGAAGCAGTAATGCGTTCCGGTTTGAAGGGTGGGGCAGCCGTTGTGACTATACTTGAGAACTTAGAACTTATATCTCAAGGTGGGTGGCGCATATACGTTGTAGATGTCCATGGGCTCCAGTAACCACTTAACACCAGGTGGGCTGTGAGCTCGTCCACCCATCTTAACAATAAAAAAATAAAAATAAAAACCATAAAAGAAATTAAATAAATAAATATTCCACCCTGCTCCATCAATCAACTAATGCACCGCCTTAAATAAAATCTTACGTCATATTTTCTTGAAATCTTCACTCGCGTATTTTTTTTACTGAAATGCGCGTTCTTTATTATTATTTTTTCTGCTTTCTACACTGTAACATCAACTCTATTGTTCTAGATGTTGATGCGTTTTTTGTTTGCAACGTAACAAATAAACAATCCGATCCCGTACATTCATACGCGACAGAACGTAAATTAGGTCAAATGGAATAAGTTTCTTAAATTGTTCCGCGTGCCTGTTGTTACAATTAAGGGGACGCTGTTGATACAATAAAGCGTGATAGTTTCACAAACAGAATTAATTTCGCATTATTTCTTCTTTGAGTTTTTTTTTTATTGCTTAGATTGGTGGACGGGCTCACAGCCCACCTGGTGTTAAGTGATTACTGGACCCCATAGACATCTACAACGTAAATGCGCCACCCACCTTGAGATATAAGTTCTAAGATCTCAGTATAGTTACAACGGCTGCCCCACCCTTCAAACCGAAACGCATCACTGCTTCACGGCAGAAACAGGCAGGGCGGTGGTACTCACCCGCGCGGACTCACAAGAGGTCCTACCACCAGTAAAGTTGAGTTGAGTTCTTGAAAATCGAAAATTCTTGGCTATATTAAATGCATTCAAACCATTCTCATAGACGAAGTGAGCTAAGCTAATACATAAAAACGTAAAACATCATTCATTTATTAAAATAATGACTGGTTATTAAAAATTTTACTGGTGGTAGGACCTCTGGTGAGTCCGCGCGGTTAGGTACCACCACCCCGCCTGTTTCTGCCGTGAAGCAGTAATGCGTTTCGGTTTGAAGGGTGGGGCAGCCGTTGTAGCTTTATTTGAGACCTTAGAACTTATATCTCAAGGTGGGTAGTGCATTTACGTAGATGCCTATGGGCTCCAGTAACCACTTAACACCAGGTGGGCTGTGAGCTCGTCCACCCATCTACCAATAAAAACAAAAAAACACAATCTTCTGTGACCGAATATTTTATGTTTTTCCGTTTATCTAATTGGAATAATCTCTAATAATCGTCCATGGGCTCCAGAATAGTAAGCATACCACGTGAAATATAAGTTATTCCTTCCTTTTAGAAGATTAAAATAACTTTACGAGAATTAAGGTACTAAAAATATTTAGATTCGAGTTTTTGAATTTTTCAATAATCAGCCTATATTAAATTACTGAAACTGATAAGAATATAGAAAGTACTGTTACAATTTTCGACGGAGTTAATAAAGTGACGAATAATAATAATTTTAACATCTAAGATAAAAAGAAAACGCAAAAGCCTTGCTTTTATTATTATTATATTTTGTTTGAAGTAGAGAACAAACAATACTATGTGTCTACAATAATCTATATCGTACAAAACATATCCGAGATAGCGTATCTATACATAATAATGAGGTTTAAAAATATAAGAAAATAGAAAACTCCTTAGTATGCGTGCGTTTGAAACACTTTTGATACTCTTACTGTTACAATTTTCGACTGAGTTACGATAGTGACGAAAAATGCCAATTTTAACATCTAAGAAAAAAATAATACACAAATTCCCAGCTTTTTTTTTTACGTGGAGAACAAACAATACCATGTGTCTACAATAATCTATACCTTACAAATATGCGAGACAGCGTATCTATACATAATAATGAGGCTTAAAAATATAAGCAAATAGCAAACTCATTAGTATGGGTGCGTTTGAAACACTTTTGATACTGCAGCTGACATCTTGATATAAAACTGCATGAAAATAAATTTCCCCTGAAACATACTACTACTCCTTAATGAGCCAGTGCGACCCAAATACGTCATCATTATCTTGACATTGAAATTGTATTGTGAACACGGTTCAAAACATTTAAAACTAAGGCGCGTCCGAAGCAGTCGCCCCAGGCCTTACTGAGAAGCAACATTACAATATCTGAATTAAATTTTACCGTGAAAGGAATACTTATCCTGTTTTGCTGTCCTGTTTTTGTATTTTGCAAGACAACGCGAAATTTAATATTAATTAAAAACTTGTTTGATACAGTTTCCAGTTTCAAACACTCCAAAATTTCCACATGAACGACAAAACTAAACTGAATTTTCTATAATTATCACGTTCAGAAATACAATTATGAAAATGAAAAAGCATCTAGTGTTTAATTCCACATTGCTGTTTGTAATGTTGATCGAATCTATTGGAGTTTCGGGCAAAGATTTGAGTGAAAATGAGCGGGCTGGCCGAGCGGCATTTGTTCAAAGACTATTGAATAAAAAAAAGTATTTGGAAGGGAGAGTGAAATTAGTTGGCGGGAATAAATATGAAGGTAAGATTGTCTATATCTATACTATAATATAATATTATAAAGAGGAAAGATTTGTTTGTTTGTTTGTTTCGAATAGGCTCCGAAACTAATGGACCGATTTGAAAAATAATTTTTCCATTAGAAGCCGACATTGTCCCTGATGAACATAGGCTACTTTTTTTATTATTTTTTTATTTATTATTTTTGGTTTCATGTGTGTTTTAATGTTTCCGAAGCGAGGGCGGGTCGCTAGTAATATTATAAAGAGGAAAGATTTGTTTGTTTGTATTGATTAGGCTCCGAAACTACTGAACCGATTTGAAAAAGTCTTTCACTGTTTGGAAGCAACACTATTCTCGAGTGACATACGCTATAATCTTTTTTGAAAAAAAATAGGGATCCTTACTTAACTCCAATAATGTAACCCAAGGTGTAAATAATTATCTAAAATATTATTTACATCGCGTGCCCTGAGAAAACTAGTAATGATAGAATAAAATAATGTACTACGACTTTGTAGAACACATTATTATTTACAAAAAGTGTCGCGACAGCATATGTGTGACTATTATAGTTTTGCCGCAATAAGTGCTCTTTTATTTCAAAAAAATAAAACAACGTCAAATATCGTTGAAAATTTTGTTAAAGACCCGAGCGAAGCCGATACGGGCCGGTAGTATTTTATATTCCTAATTCAAGTTGGTATAACGTCTTGTACCTTTAATCTCAGCAATCCGATGTCAGTCAATCATTTGGTCTGAGAAAATGTGGCTTGTCCTTTTTCTGAATCACTAACTTATTTATTTACTTTTTGTTGCTCGTTCAGGTGAATGAACTTACGAGTCACGGAGCCTATAGACATCATCAACTAAGCAATAAAGGAATAATAATCCTTTTTGTCTTTTATCGTTTCAGCGGTACCACCACTCCTTATAATATCTTGTCCATATGAAGTCGTCGTGGCCTAAAGGATAAGACGTCCGATGCATACGTATGTAGCGATGCACCGGTGTTCGAATCCCGCAGGCGGGTACCAATTTTTCTAATGAAATACGTACTTAACAAATGTTCACGATTGACTTCCAAGGTGAAGGAATAACATCGCGTAATAAAAATCAAACTCGCAAAATTATAATTTGCGTAATTACTGGTGGTAGGACCTCTTGTGAGTCCGCAGGGGTAGATACCACAATCCTGCCTATTTCTACCTTCGGTTTAAAGTGTGGGGCAGCCGTTGTAACTATACTTGAGACCTTAGAACTTATATCTCAAGATGGGTGGCGCATTCACGTTGTAGATGTCTATGAGCTCCAGTAACCACTTAACACCAGGTGGGCTGTGAGCTCGTCCACCCATCTAGGCAATAAAAAAAACATACCATTAACTTCTACGATTACATGATTCAAGGCAACGTGTACATCTATCACGCCGGTCGTTGGGGAGCTATTTGTGACGACAGCTGGGATGATGCGGCAGCTCAAATCGTATGTCGCGTGTTCAACAGGACTGGTTTTGCTACTCACGGAGGGCAATACGGTGAAGCAAAAGGTTTGTTTTATTCATACGCTTTTATTAGCTTCAGACGTAGGTATGTATGTTTGTAACGGAATCTTTGAACATGATTTTGACCCCCTTCAAAACGTCGGATTAACTCGAAATTTGGTATACTTATTAAGGACCGATGACAATTCAATACTAAAAAAAAATATTGACAAAAAAATATATTGAAAAAATTTAAAGTCAACTATAAAATGAAAAATAAATAATAGTTTAAAAAAACTAACAAAATACGCTTTTATAAAAAATCCAACTAAAATATAGAGAATAATGAATATATAGAAAATAAATTTTAATAAATTTAAATTAAAAATAGTGTAAGAAAAAATGATTTTATTGTAAAAAAAAGCGTGGGCTGCGTAAAAAAAGCGTTATTTCTTCTTCTCAGTCGCTTGCACTCTTGGCAGAGTGGTCTTGGTCATCATTTCGGATGGTGGTGCGATTCACAAGACGTCGTGCATCTTGCATTTTTTGTGTATCTTACCTAATTTATATTTCTAATACTTATTCACGTATATTTATCTGATGCTAGGTAACAACTTCTATCATTTATTTAACTCTCCAGAACGTGTTATTAGCATTTTACCACAGGTCCCATTCTGGTCCAGATTTGTCTATATCCACTTCCATATCAACTACCAAAATCTTTCCGAAAAACTCAACTCTGTCAGCCATGATGGCCCTGAATTCACTTTAGAATAAGTCTATGAATACAAATGTGGAGAGGGCGTATGGTAAAGCCCGCCAGGCTAGCTATCACCATCCTGTCTATTTTTATCGCAAAGCAACCATGCGTTCTGGTTTGGAATGTGATGCAGCTGTTACACAATACAATTGAGGCCTCGTGCCTCAAGACGGGTGCCAATATTTAACTTGTTAGGTCTATGGACCCCGGTAACCACTTAACCCAAGATGGACCGTGAGTTTTGGTTAAACACCCACACCCAGGAAACTCCATCCACTCTTTTATAAAGCAATACACATATGACGTCTCATCGGCTAGTCTCTAGATTCCCATTTCAACCAGCTAATCAGCGTCGAGGATAATATTATCGCTATAGTTTCGGTAATTGAAAATAAGCTTTAAATGCGAACGACATACACCGGCAATGATCATAACAACATTCACAGCCCTCCATTTATTTACTCTACAAAAAAGCCACATCTACTAAAACACTTATATTTGCTCTCCACTTTTTTTATAGAACAATTTTGGATGGATGACATGGTTTGTCAGGGTGATGAATCTTCACTGACCCAGTGCATATTCTCTGGCTGGGGTTCTTCAGACTGCACGCCTACTGAAGCAGCTGGAGTCAAATGCCGCAAACAAGAGACACATGTGCCATTAAATCTTTCCTCAAAGAAAAAAGCAGGAGTCCCACTACATGAAGTCTTAGATATTAGGTATACTAGTTTGAGACTAGTTGGCGGAAGAAATGCTCTGGAGGGCAGAGTGGAGGTACGACATTACTATATATCTGAAATCTTGCATTTCTCGAACTATTTGAGTGATAATATGAGTGATAATGTTGACTAATCCTAAAATCTAAACTAATCATTGACTAGCAGTAAAGCATTAGTAGCCACTAAAGAAGGTAGATAGAAATGGAGCATGCTTGGTTAGTTTAGTGTTTAGAACCAAATCAAAATGGCGGAGCGGTTTGAGGTTATTTTAACGCGAGGTTTTAAACTAATATTAGAACTCAATCTCCAGATCTATCACAATAATTACTGGGGAAGCCTATGCCCAGACGGCTGGACGATCTATGAAGCTGCAGCTACCTGTCGCCATTTAGGCCTAGGATATGCGGAGCAAGCCCTACAGACGGATTATTTCGGAAGCTCAAAGATTGTTCTTAGCGGAGTGGAATGTCAAGGCAACGAGACGAACCTATTAATGTGTCGACATCAGAAATATGGCAACGTTACGTGCCCAGGGACAGTTGGTAAGTCAAAAATAGATTTCGATAAACTTAATTTGAAATGAGAAGAGCGGCTTATGGAAAACATTATATAAAAACCAGCGAATAATCTACCTTACTACAAACTTCTCAATTCTTTGTTTATTTTTTCATAATAGATGAGATGACACATCCCATGAGATAAAGCAGCACCTGATTTTGGGTGATTACGGAACCCATAAATATCACTACATAAATACCGCATGGTCATGAGGTGTCGTAAAAGGCGACTAAAGGATTTCACTGAAAACTTTATTTCTCTAAGTATTATAACAGCGGATTGCGATAACCAAACGACTTTTAAATGGTAAGCGCGGACGGTTAATTATCACCATCCTGGGTATTTCTGCCACAAAGCAGTCAATCATTTCGGTTGGAAGGGTGTGTCAGCTGTTATACAACACAGTTGAGACTTAGACCTCAAGGCGGGTGGTGGTATTCATGAGGTGGCACCAGTAGTAGCACTTAGATTTAAATTGAAAGAAAGTCTGCAGCAATTAAACTACTTTTCTAATGTTTGAAAATGTTTTAATCGCATTGTACGGATTAATTCACATATTCACACATGTATTGACATAAAATATATAAAAGCATAAAGATTTAAAGAAAACCTTTTTTTTTTCAACATTTAACTAATTATCTTTTACGAAATGATTTGATACGATCGTTAATTGTAATCGTTTATCAAAATTTGCAACGATGGGCACGTTAGAACCATTTTAATTACTGAATAGATCATGGACGTAATATTGTTTTTCTAGTATTTTTTAATTTTTTATTTATTACTTAGATGGATGGACGAGCTCACAGCCCACCTGGTGTTAAGTGGTTACTGCAGCCCATACACATCTACAACGTAAATGCGCCACCCACCTCGAGATTAAGTTCTAAGGTCTCAGTATAGTTACAACGGCTACCCCACCCTTCGAACCGAAACGCATTACTGCTTCACGACGGAAATAGGCGGGGTGGTGGTACCTACCCGTGCGGACTCCCAAGAGGTCCTACCACCAGTGAGTATCTAATCAATTTATGATTCACGGCTTATACATGATTAAAATCTTCAAACTATGTATATATAATTGGCTTATTTAAGACCACACTTATTACCACTTTGCCTGATTCTGCCGCCAAGTAGTACTGCCTTCCGGTCTTAAGGATGTCAAGCTCGTTATACTAAACAATTTAAACTTAGAACTCATTTTTCATGGTTAGTGCGGGCATTTATGTACATTATTTCATGTATGGTTTCTGATATGTCCTGAACATCAGATGGGTTGTGAGTCCGTTTAGCGGTCTTGCCAATAAAAAAAGTATACGCGCCGAGATTTCTGAAACCTTATTTTCCTTATCATCAAGTAAGCCGAAAGATCTTTTATACCTCAGTTTAAAAGCGTCCAAACTAAATTAATAGCATAAAATGATATTGAACACGATTATTAAGACCGAATTGGCAGATTGCAACATCCCCCATTATTGGCACGAACTAGCGTCTATTATTATATAATTAGATTAAGACTCAAACCGACAGCCTCAAGGTAGCCAGCGACATTTAGGCTATATGTGTATATATGTATGTCTAGTATCAAATAAGCACCACGGTTTTATAAGCAGAAAAATATTCATCAAATTTAACAGAATTTATAAGAATTATATATCGTCAATGCTCAATGTAATAAATAAAATTAATCTGAAAACTTTAATCTGTGCATCGTCTCGTGAACTCTGTGCGCACAGAACTATTATTAAATACTACGATAAGTTTTATTAATGTATATTTTTAGCAAACAATGCACGGATTTAATTGTGTATTATAACAAAAACTTTAACAAATAGGGCCCGAATTTTTTGTTTCTCGTAGCTCATTTACTTTTCTTAGATCTTTGGATAATGCCTCTGTAGTTGTTACTATGTGAGAACTGAAGATTTAGACAGCTCCAACCCAACTATAAGCAAAAAGACCATTTATCCTACTATTATTTTTCCTTGTTGACTGTTTTTCAAAGTTAATTGTGTTTCGGTGTGCAATATAGTATACACACTCTCTCTGTTCAAAAATGGGTTATAATTTAGAATAAGTTATAATTGTTTTTTATTGCATAGATGGGTGGACCACTTGATGTTAAGTGGTTACCGGAGCCCATAGACATCTACAACATAAATGCCGCCACCCACCTTGAGATATGAGTTCTAAGGTCTCAATATAGTTACAGGTATGTATAAGTAAATGCAAATAGCTTACGACAGGATAGTCATGTGGCATAATGAAATATAAAATATGAATATTAAAGAACAGTCGCTTGCGCATGGCGACGCATCACCACACCGTGCACACTATTACATAATATAGACTGTATATACAATATAGCGCGGCGACGCGGCGCCACGGCATGCGTCGCCACGCCAGCAATCGGTTTTACGAGCGGCTATAAATGTTTCACATCAACGATCTGACTGCGACGGAGAACCCAAAGCCACCGTCGCCTGAAACATATCGGATTACCCGGATTCACTCTCGGTGCTTTTAGGCCTCTCAAGCACGGGTCATCGTCCTCGTCGAACTCGTCGATTACGACGAAGAGTTCGACGAGCGAACTGACCCATAGACGCAACCAACTGAGTTTCTCGCCGGACCTTCTCACTGAGTCGCGATTCCGATCCATAGGTAGATTCTGCGAAGCACTGCTCTTCCTTTTTTATTTTATTGCTTCGATGGGTGGACGGGCTCACAGCCCACCTGGTGTTAAATGGTTACTAGAGCCCATAGACATATATGACGTAAATGCGCCACCCACCTTGAGATATAAGTTCTAACGTCTCAGTATAGTTACAACGGCTGCCCTACCTTTCAAACTGAAACGCATTACTGCTTCACGACAGAAATAGGCAGGATGGTGGTACCTACCCGTGCGGATTCACAAGAGGCTCTACCTCCAGTAAAGTAGGGCTAGTGTTAGCAATTTCTCTCAGGTTGAGCCCGTGAGCTCACTTGCCGGTCCGGGCGTAGCTGGAATAGCCCTTTAGACTACCTAGGTAGGAGAAAAAAAACATCAACAAGGGATACAAAAGTTCAACGACTAACAAAATCTCACGACAGGTCACGTCGCAGCGGTAATATGTACCCAAAAATTGGCCGATTTGGAGCTTGACACCGCAGCCATAGAACACACCGCCCATTTACAAGACGTTCCAATGTACCAGCTCACTTGCGCTATGGAAGAAAACTGCTTGACGAAGTCAGCCTATGAGGTACTGTGTCCAATACAAAAGGGATTTTTTGCCCTACCTATTCACTGGTAGCCTTAAGAGCTATTACAGCTTATGTAAGATATAACTGTTACTGCAAATATTAAAATCTTTATACGAAATCAATTAATTGTCTTGGATATACTCAAAAATTTTTTCGGAATATTTTTGTCCGTAATAATTCGTACCATAAATTTAATAAGCCTTCCGAGTCAGGCGATATGAAATCCTTATAGCATTTATCAAGTATGTTAAAGAAAAGGTACCCCTTTTTAAGATTTTTACACGCTTTATATTAGCTTCACTTGTATGTATGTCTGTATGTTTGTAGCTGACTCCTTTAGACGCGATTTTGACCCACTTTAAGCGGCCAGATTTCATTCAAACTTTGTAGATTTATCGAGGACCGATGACAATACACTAATTTGATAAGATTATTCCATTATTCAATTTGCAAAATAAGATTTTTGCCAATTTATATAATTATTATCTTTAGTCGATAAGGCAGGAATTGATGTTAAAGTACTTAATAGTTTTAAAAATACGCTTTTATAGAAAATTGAACTAAAAAATGAAAAAAGAAAAATAGTTTAAAAAAACTAAGATATTATTGAAATAATAATTCTTCTACTCATATCTGTCAGAAAAATATTTATAACTAATAAGACCATGCACCTCACGCTTTTTTTTTAATAAAATATATTGTACACTATTTTCAATTTAAATTTATTAAAGTTTATTTTCTATTTTTTACTTGAATTTTATACCTACATATAAAGCGTGTTTATAGTTTTTTAAACTATTATTTATTTCTTAAAGTTCTAGATTTTTATAACTGCGTCTTAGATGTTTAATCTTTTTATTCATTTAATTAGACGCAAAAAACCAACCCAAATTGGCAATATGAAACCAGAAGGCTATTGCGTTTCACAGCAGCCTCTCTCAACATCGGAAACGATGAATTCAGGCCGTATTTACCGAAGCATTTGTGGCAATGGCATCTTTGTCATATGTAAGTTGAAAGTTAACTAATATTATTATACGGTAGACTCACTGGGCTCTTATATATATTATATCAATCAAGAAACTTGTGGTAATTTTTGTATATTTATCGATAAAACTCGAATCATTTTAGAATAAAAGGATAAACTGATTAAAGGATAAACTTTTTACTTCTTCTTCTTTTCCATATCGTATCCACATTGTATTGTCGCCTATCTGACCTCATTTCTCTTTGGGAACGATATACTTGAGATTGACGGAATTCTATTTCTATTAAATAAACATCGGAGCTTACTATCCACCTAGTGAAGTTACCACACTTCATGGACAAAATAAAGTGCCACCTATCCTGATACAAGAGATTAAAATATCAATAGTATTCTAATACGGGGAATAGCCGAATGGAACACACCAAATTGATGGACTCGGTGAGGTAGTTGTTGGTGCATCGAACTTCAGGGCCATTAGTCGTGGGTTCGATTCCCAAATTTCGCGTATTTCCCATGTTCGCGTGCAACTGAATTATACGAATTATATTATTATATGAACAGTGCGCATATTATCATCTATGATGTGTGTTTTTATACCATTCTTAGAAAAAAGTCTCTAAGTAAATTCTTACTTTGTATAAATAAATAAATAACTGGAACAAATCACCCACGATCATCCTGCTCCAATTTAGGATTCCCTGTGTTATGGGTACCAGAAATTGATAAATATACTTATATATATTATTATCGACCAGAAGTGAGGTAGTTAACAAAAAGAAATAAATAACACAGAACTGGCCTAATTATATTTCACTGAATTAACCAATACTTCTAACAAAATGATTTCAATTTACTATTAACGAAAACTGTTAAAATTACACAAGTCCCAAACATGTTTCAACAAGAACCGCACACACGAACGCCACGCACAAAAAAGAGGCAAAGGCTTTTTTTTTTTTTTTTTTTTTTTTCCTACCTATGCTGATAGCCTTGAGAGGCTATTTCAGCTTCACCCTAACGTTAGTAGGTGAGCTCGCGGGGCTCAACCGGAGAGTTGCTAACACTGACCCTAGCAAGAGCAGTGCTTCGCAGAATCTACCACCGGATCGGAAACGCGACCCACTGAGAAGATCCGGCGAGAAACTCANGCAGGGGCTGAGGCGCGGGGCGTGTCGCGAGCGGGGGCGGGGGTGCGGTTTGCGTTCCCGCCTTCGTATACGGCAGCGGCTTTTTCCACGCTGAAACCGTGGGAACTGCAGCCGGCACGAAGGCAGGTTTCGGCACTGAGGGTGCCGAAGTCTTTGGGCCGACGGTTCGCGGAGCTGGGAGGGTTGAACGCTTGCGCGGAGCCCTAGGCAAAGGCGCAGCGAGGGATCGTTTTTATAGTTTTAGCGCTGGCTCTCGGTCGGGGGTTGCCAGGACTCGGTAACAATATTTTAAATACATAAATACTTACATAAATAATAGACACCCAAAGACAAAGACCAAATAAGCCTGCTCATTACCCAATGTTTGCCCGATGTGAGAATCGAACTCTCGGCGCAAAGTCAGGACGCTACTTACTGTACCACCGAGTCAGTCATATCTATCTATCTATATATATATAAATGAATTGCTGTTCGTTAGTCTCGCTAAAACTCGAAAACGGCTAGACCGATTTGGCTAATTTTGGTCTTGAATTATTTGTGGAAGTCCAGAGAAGGTTTAAAAGGTAAATAAAAATAACAATTTTGTATTTCCTCGGATATGTCCCCGTCGGACGGATTAGTTTTGTTTGTTTTAAGTTTATTTTAAACAAAAGTTTAGGTCTTTTATTTATAGATTGAGGCACTACGAAGTTTGCCGGGTCAGCTAGTAAAACAATAAAATGTATTCATCATCAAATTCTAGGCACTACCACAGTATGGAAGTGTTTGCTACATTCGATGTCTTTGATGCGTCAGGCCGAAGAGTCGCAGAAGGCCATAAAGCTTCGTTCTGCTTAGAGGATAACACGTGCATGCCTGGAGTGGAAAAAAAGTATTCCTGCAAGAACTATGGAGATCAAGGTAGTTTGATTTTATTAAATTTTAGCACACATAAGCCTACAGGTTTTTATGATCTATTCGCGGATCACTTTCCATGAAGAAATAAGGTCGTGTAATAAAAATCATACCACCAAAATTTTGTACTATAATTTATAATAAAACTATTCTTATTAGATAAATTGGTACCTATTTTCTTCATAAGCAGGAGCCCGAACGATGTAAGAGATATCCGCGCCTAGGGAGTACGCGGGATTCACGGTCTGCAGATGTTCCGAGAAGACCGCTGGCCCAAGCATGAATTCACAAAACTTTCGCACTCTAACCGTTCCCTCGCCAGGCGCTGCGCCCCACTGTCCCGCGAAAAATTGATACCCTACTACTGGATACAAACATAGGCGCAGTCCCATCACTCGATACGAATACGTCAGGCATTTTTTTATACGTCAATTTTTTTTTTTTTTTTTATTGCTTAGATTGGTGGACGACCTCACAGCCCACCTGGTGTTAAGTGGTTACTGGAGCCCATAGACATCCACAACGTAAATGCGCCACCCACCTTGAGATACAAGTTCTAAGGTCTCAAGTATAGTTACAACGGCTGCCCCCACCCTTCAAACCGAAACGCATTACTGCTTCACGGCAGAAATAGGCAGGGTGGTGGTACCTACCCGCGCGGACTCACAAGAGGTCCTACCACCAGTAACAATTTAATATAATTATGTATGTTGCAAATTATCGTGTACCTAAATTGGAAAAGAACAAACCCTGAGTTTAGCTGCATCTCGTATCGTTGGTAAAACTATAACGAAATAAATTAGCTCCAGAACTGCTCATTAATTAGAGCTTGTTATATTTTTCAGGTGTTTCAGTGAACTGTTCGGATGTTTATCATTACAATATTGACTGTCAGTGGGTGGATGTGAGTGATGTGGAGCCAGGCGACTACACGTTAAAGGTACAAATCGCTCCTTTATAGAGACCCAACTCAAAATATGTGTTTTTTTGGAAAACATCGAATAAAGTTTTCAAACCGAAAAGACGTAGAGGAGGGGGACGGAGTGAAAGAGACCGATAGATAAGCTTGTCTCTTTATAAGCTACTTTTAGTCATGTGATTATTAACAGTCGCCGGAAAAGGTCGTTCTAGGTAAATTTTTGAATTAAAGTCGAAATCCAGAAATTTCGAAATAGGTCTCTATAATTCTGCTTCTTCTTCTTCTTCTTTGTCGTTTCCTCATTACTGAGGGTCGTGACCACCTTGGTCCAGTTTTTGCACCAGCTTCCTCCAGTGCTGCCTGCATTCGGCCTGCTTAATGGCGCCCGGGACGCTGGTGTTTGTGGTCTCCTTGATAATGTCCACCTGGTTGGCAATCTTCCTCGACTTCTCTTTCCTTCCACGTGACCTACAACTATTAATTTTTCCAAGTTCTCAGGATTTTGTCGGGCCACGTGTCCGAAGTAAAGGTATTATTTATTATACATTTCTAAAGGTACGAAATGTTTTGTCCTATTGGTGAGCATCATAGATATAAATTCGGGTCTTCTACATATTTGCAGAAAACCATTTCGCATGAATTCGGATACAGCGTTTATTTTTAGGTCACACGAAATATTATTCCACAAATGTATCGTAGTGTATGTAGTATCACTATCGAATTGAAAAATTGGGGATTTTTGTGTCTCTAATGACCACTAATGACCTAATATCCGCACATAGATCAAATCGTCATTATGTTACATAATACGGTTTTTTTTTGTTATATTGTATCTTGTAATCTTTTTTTTGTAATCCTTTTTGTAAATGTAATTTTGAAAAACATTATACAAATCCATAGAGGATCTTGAAGCACTCTTCTTCCAAAGCTTCTTGTATTCACTTGGTTGTGATCCATTAGATGCTTAGCAAGATTATTTAGGTTGGATTCTAATCTTTCACGATAGGTTTTAGCTCTATAGATTAGGTACTTCATCTTTCACTTTTATGATTGATTCTTTCATTTGTAACGATCATTGCGCGCTCAACACCGTCCTGAGCGTTTTTACTGAAACAATTCTATCATAGCAATTTGTTTTTGCATTCCTAAAAAAATGTGACGCCTGGCAGATGTGAAACATCGACATTATTTTCTAAAGTAATATACAGAAAAGAACAGATTGTGACAGGAACTAAATATGTCATAATGATAAAATAAAATATTACGAAAAAATAATTTGCTTTCAAGTAAAACACATGTTATGTGTACTGTACTAAACAAAAAACAACACTGTATACACTACGGAGTATACACTATAGGTATCCGTGCTCAGTGTAGCGAGAGAGATGGCTTAACGCCGGATCGAGTGGGAGAGAATCGCACAGTCGATTGCGCATGGCGACGCGTCGCCACGGCATGCGTCGACACGCCAGAAATCGGTTTTATGTGTGGCTATAGATGTTTCACATCAAAATCCGTTAATATGATGAAACGTTTTCAAACAGGTGGCAGTGAACCCTCACGCGCGAATAGCAGAACAAAATTACCACAATAACGCGGCGTCTTGCAGACTGCGTCTTTCTGAACTCTATGCTGCAGTATACGGATGTAAACGCGAAAGGCCTTAGCTTGTAATCGTCACTGTAAGAACAGAATGTTTGTAACAAATTTAAAACTGCCCTGCTAACCGACAAAAATCGTTCGAAATCTAACCTATGACGTCATTTGGGGCCAAAAAAACGACATAACGTCCAGCCACATAATTTATCATTATTTATTAAAACTCAAACTCTTTATAAGACAATCAACTAATTATTTAACAAAAATAATGATTGGATGATCGCTTAAATATAAATAATGTCTAAACACTAGTTGTTAGTATGTTAGATTGTTTTGTGATTGCTATCCCCTTTCGTACTAACTGTAAATTATTATTGTAAATTAATGCCTGCTGGGGTTAAGCCTTTTGTTATTTCTGGAGCGAAACAATTATGTGATATAGCCTGTAGGTCAGCTTAGTAGTCGTTCTCATGACTATAACCTCAAAGCTGGCAGACATATTGAGGCATTACAATTTAAAAAAAAACAAAATGAATTTTGAATCTTTATTAATTAATTCTTATAAATTACGTATCACAATTGGTCATTGCAAAAAAATATTTTAAATATAAAGTTTTTAGTCTTAAATTGATGTCCGTTTTTTGTACCATTAATTAAACCTTAGCGATATGATAAGTTTATTGTACTTATTGTGTAACAGTAACAAATTGCAGATCAATTATTGTTAGTGGTATTCGAACCTTTCCCAGAAATAAAAATAAATGGTAGCATCGCTGAGGCCATAAACCGCATGTAAATCCTTTTTTGGTATTTGATAGCTACCCCCACCACCAGATATGAAAGACATCCAAATGACTCGACATATTTCTGGACATAAATTCGGATATCCACGATTTAAACCCTCCAAATTGAACTTTTGAAATTTTAATTGATGATAACTGCATATTGCTTAAACCACTATTTTTAGTGAAGACAGTTTTAGTACATAATTGATCTAAAGGTTATAAATCGAGACCTCATTAAGACAAATAAATTTTACAGGAATGAGAGTTAAGGCAAAAAAGTGGTCCGGTCCAGACCTTAACTTTAAAAGTTCGGATTTATCAAAATATTTCTCAGAAGTGTCTCATTTAACTATTCATTCAATTATTAAATGTATCTTTTGTTAAGAAAAGTTTTCAGTGACTTTATATAATGTCTATTTGGTTGAAAAATAAAAAAAATAAAATTGAATTGAAATTACATAAAAATGTTTTGATTTTTCATTTTCAAATCAATATTTAAATTTAAGTTTGAATTAAAAATATCCCCCCAGTGATATTAAACAGTCGCTTCTAAAATGATATTTTTTATCTTGTAATATTGGAAAATTTACACCCCATCAAAAGCTTAAGGAATAAATATTCTAACTAAATCCCCTAAGACAATAAGCGTACATCAATAACACTATTCACAATTCATATTATATAAAAACCACAGACGAAATGTATTTTCAGTACCTATACATTTAGAAAATTCGATTCTTATTGATTCATGTTAATCTATCTAACTCTTAAGGCTTCGTCAAACAGAACGCGTAATTAACGCGCGTCAGAACGCTAAACTGACGGTGCGCTATGACGCCGAGATGTGTTGTACTACTATGGTAACATACGTCAAACAGAGGCCCAGCGCTAGCAGAACGCAACGCTCTGTCGCGGCGTTAGGACGCTTTGAAGTCAGGCGTTGTAATTTTTTTATTTTAGCGTCCGAGTGAATGTGTATTAAAATACTGGATAATGCCCGAAAAATTGATAGAAATAGTTAAAAAATCCCATGCTTATACAATGCCACATCTGAATCACTCGACATCATGAAAAGAGCGCGACGTTAAAACGCAGCGCTAAGTACGCATTCTGTTTGACGAAGCCTTTAAGTTTTATCAATTTGAAAAGTAATTTTGATTAACTTATTTTTTGTCATCCCAGTTATAGAATTTTCATTATACATTATCTCAAAAAATGTAGGTGGTTCTGATTAAACAGACATTTTCATACAACACCCTAGAAATCTATTACAACAATTCAAAATCGAACTTATAACAATTAAAAATAGGTTTCAAATTTATTCCACAGGTCTAATTAGAAACATGACCGCCTTCCGTAATAATATTAACACTGAATATAAGGTATGTTCAGACCTCAGATTAGCCTTTCTTAAATTTAAGTAGTAAAATACTTGTGGTCAAATAAATTGCTATCCAAATACCCGTCGATATGAACCCGGAGTAGACAGTGGGTACATTGATAGTCCAACCTCTCTGTAGCATAGATCTGAGAGACTCTGTAGATTTCGTAAGCGGAAGAATGTAGCTGATCCACTGTAGAATCAGGTGCATACCTGTAAGATTATTTTTACTATTACATACTTTATAATTAGGTATTTGGATGTGACGATTGACAAAGAAAATTTCATCTCTCTAAACTCTAAAATACTCAACTCTAAAATAGATTATTTTATAAATTTGTTATCTAATAAATAAAAGTGCTTATGACTGAAATCTTAAAATCATAATAGGGTAGTTTGAATTTCAGCTACGCAATACTAACTGCTACAAATAATAACAACTGGTAAATGAAATGGTTGGAAATAGTGGAGACTTGGAAAATCAATGTAAGCCTTTTTTTATTGCTTAGATGGGTGGACGAGCTCACAGCCCACCTGGTGTTAAGTGGTTACTGGAGCTCATAGACATCTACAACGTAAATGCGCCACCCACCTTGAGATATAAGTTCTAAGGTCTCAGTATAGTTACAACGGCTGCCCCACCCTTCAAACCGAAACGCATTACTGCTTCACGGCAGAAATAGGCGGGGTGGTGGTACCTACCCGTGCGGACTCCCAAGAGGTCCTACCACCGGAAAACCTACCACCTACCACCACCTTTAGCAGAAACCTTAATTCTGGAATGAAATAAAATGAAGTGAAGAAATACTATTTGATATTTCATAATAAATACCTTCAACGGGCCATATGATGCCGCAAAGTAACACCATCGGCAGGAACGAGCCAAGGGCCAGGTAAGTAGCTGTTCTGTCGGTGTCACAAACACAGGACACGACGAAACCTTTACAAATAATCAGAATTATTAGTTACGAACGAACGATTCAAGCAGCTGGCAGTAACTGGAGGCTGTAGAACCGAAGATCGGGTTAAATGGCGAGCTTTGGGGGAGGCTTATGCGCAGCAGTGGACTACCGCAGGCTGATGATGATGATAATTTTTTTTATTGCTTAGTTGGGTGGACGAGCTCACAGCCCAGCTGGTGTTAAGTGGTTACTAGAGCCCATAGACATCTACAACATAAATGCGCCACACATCTTGAGATATAAGTTCTAAGGTCTCAGTATAGTTGCAACGGCTGCCCCACCCTTCAAGCCGAAACGCATTACTGCTTCACGGCAGAAATAGGCGTGTTGGTGGTACCTACCCGTGCGGACTCATAAAAGGTCCTACCACCTGATGACCACATGATGATGAGCGATACAATTTTTACAATTACTATACGTGTCGAGAAATGAATGGCTATTTGGTTTTAAACGACACTACTGCAACTTTACAGGAGAGTCATTTAAAATTTAGAAAAAATATCATAACCAAAAAACCTCTTCGGCTATTTGACTGAAGTAAGCTTAATTGAAGTTTTTTTTTTATTGCCCTTGTAGGCAGACGAGCGTACAGCCCACCTGATGGTGAGTGGTTATCGTCGTCCATGGACTTCAGCAATGCCAGGAGCAGAACCAAGCCGCTGCCTACCGAAAAGTACGATTAAAAGCGTCGAATTGTTGACAGTAATACTAAACAAAACGGCTTTTAATTAGAAAGATAAATGTCGCTTAAACCAAACAGCCTTTCTCCCTCGATATGTAGTAACTATATCTTATTATATATAAATTATTTGATATTATTGGATATTCTGTCATCATTATCCTGCCCTTCTCCCAGTCGCCTCTGGTCGACGCAACATGTTCTCTCCTTCCGTACTCTTCTATCATATACAATTTCTTCGCTCACTCCCCTCTTACCCATATCGTCTTTCACGCAATCCATCCATTCCTTCTTAGGTCTACCTCTTCCTCTATATCCTTCCACATTCATAGTTAGCATTAATTTACCAAGCTCATTTATTGGATATTCTATATTAACTGATTTATTGATTACTGGTAGTAGGACCTCTTGGGAGTCCACACGGGTAGGTACCACCACCCCGCCTATTTCCGCCGTGAAGCAGTAATGCGTTTCGGTTCGAAGGGTGGGGTAGCCGTTGTAACTATACTGAGACCTTAAAACTTATATCTGGAGGTGGGTGGCGCATTTACGTTGTAGATGTCTATGGGTTTCAGTAACCACTTAACATCAGGTGGGCTGTGAGCTCGTCCATCCATATAAGCAATAAAAAAAAATTAAAAAAAACTGAAAAATTTTAAGCTAGGTAACCTTAATTTCTTATTCTATATTAGATTTAGCACAATTAGTTTCCAGTTTAAAGACGAAACGAACCATGGCTCAAGTTGCTCAAACAATTTTTTTGCTTAAGTATGAGTCTCTGCAAATTTTTTTTGTGTGTATATTTTTGTCATTATCTTCTCGCCATAACACAGTCCTTAATGGGGTTTTTGCTAACAAAGGCAAATAGCGTCCGGTCTTGTGTTAGTTGAGTAATTAATGATCACATTCCCTAATGAAATATTTCTAGCTAACTATATTCGTACCGCCTCCTATAGATACTAAAGTATTAAGCTGCGTTCAGACTCCGCTATACTATAGTGCCATATAGTATAGCAGCGTATACTTATCCAATAATATATATAGTAGAGTATATAGTAGAGAAAGTATATAGTAGATTCTGTCCCTATATCCCTATGTATGCTTAAATCTTTAAAACTACGCAACGGATTTTGATGCGGTTTTTTTTAATAGATAGAGTGACTGAAGAGAAAGGTTTGTATGTATAATAACATCCATTAAGTAGTGGAGAAATCAATAATAAATTACAGTTTCCGAAGCGAAGCGAGGGCGGGTCGCTAGTATACTATATTATATTATAGCGTAGTTTGAAAGCAGCTTTAGGGGATGATAGGAATATAGTTGAGCTGATGAAAACTTCTTTGTTCTTTTATGACTTTAAAAGAAAAGATAAACTGAACCTGATTTATTTTCATTGACTGATAAAAAAGAATTGACTTACTTAAATGTAATTTTAGTGAAAAGTAATTTCTAATTGTCTATGGTATATTTGTTCCTATACTTAATGCCAAAAAAAATTTTAAAGGCGATTGCATGCAGCAGAGATGCGAATGTTGCGATGGATGTGTAGAGTAACGAGAATGCATAGAATACGGAATGAATATGTTAGAGGAAGTCTGAAAGTGGCACCTGTGACAGAGAAACTGAGGAGTGCGCGTTTGGGATGGTATGGACATGTGATGAGACGAAATGAAAATGAGGTTGTTAAGACAGTGTTAACTATGAATGTGGAAGGATTTAGAGGAAGAGGTAGACCTAAGAAGAAATGGATGGATTGTGTGAAAGACGATATGGGTAGGAGGGGAGTGAGCGAAGAAATGGTATATGATAGAAGAGTATGGAAGGAGCAAACATGTTGCGCCGACCCCAGGTGACTGGGACCAGGGCAGGATAATGATGATGATGACTTAATGCCAAAAAAAAATCAAAAAAAATGAGTACATTTTCAAATGTTTTCAATGAAATTACTGCTCATTCGCAATCCAAACATAGCACCGTCCAATCTATATCATGATACAATTAATCCAATCATTTAACTCGCTACAAGGGAAACCTTTTACCGAGGGGTACGTCCGTGCCTTACGCCGCCCGCAACACTACGTGTTCTGTTTGTGTGAAATCAATCAATCAAGCTTTGAGCGTTCAAAACTACATTGTCGGGACAAGCGGTGGAACGAAGGTCAAAAGAACATCAGGCCAAAGTCTATAGGTTAAATTCACGATACTGCTGTTTGTATCGAATAATTACCATCCGATTTAGCTTGATATTTGGATGAAGTATTCGTGTAAAATGAATGGTAAATTAACGAAATATTAATTGCATTAGAATACCAAATATAGTCACGTAAAGTATGGCCCAATGCGGGAAAATCGTTCATTGTCTTTACTGATGTTAGGACCAGTTATGAGTCCGCACGGGTAGGTAACACCACCCCGCCTATTTCTGCCGTGAAGCAGCAATGCGTTTGGGTTGAAGGGTGGGGCAGCCGTTGTAACTATACTTGAGACCTTAGAACTTATATCTCAAGGTGGGTGGCGCATTTACGTCGTAGATGTCTATGGGCTCCAGTAGCCTCTTAATACAAGGTGGGCTGTGAGCTCGTTCATTCATCTAAGCAATAAAAAAAAATCTAAAATAAAGAGTTATAAGCGAAAATCAACAAATCATGATGATATGTGACTTTTCTACAATTTGTCATTTAACAATCATCTTTACTTGAGTCTGCTTTTATCCACAATGTGAGATTGGTATAACATTCATTGGGACCCCAATCTGCTCTATTAGCGATAGTACGGTATCTTTCATACATTCCTAGTCACATGCTTAATTCTCGTTAAACCGTGCTACAATATTTCTTTCTTGTCTGATAATTACTCATTCCCAGTATTGTCTATTTTAGTTACATATTACATCTATCTATATTCGCAACACAAATACCAGCAGTTTTCATTCATCGTTTTTGAAGATGGCCTAATACCAGTCCCATAAAGGTACATTAGATTGGAGTTCATCTTGAAAATCTATATATCGTCTTTTCGCATTAAAACTGTATAATCTCAAAACTTACAAATTTTACAGGACGGTGTCTTAAAGGTTTAACTTTTTTTTTTTATTGCTTAGATGAGTGGACGAGCTCACAGCTCACCCGGTGTTAAGTGGTTACTGGAGCCCATAGAGATCTACAACGTAAATGCGCCACCCACCCTGAGATACAAGTTCCAAGGTCTCAATTATAGTTACAACGGCTGCCCCACCCTTCAAACCGAAACGCATTACTGCTTCACGGCAGAAATAGGCAGGGTGGTGGTACCTACCTGTGCGGACTCACAAGAGGTCCTACCACCAGTAAAACTCACAAGAGGTCCTACCACCAGTAACATGTAATATTTTTAATATTAATCATCTTTGCAACATTTTATTTTTTATTTTTTACCAGTTACATTATCTGTCTTTTAAAGTAAGATAAAATTATCTATTAATTTTGTTAATAGTAGTCAAAACATAAGTAAACTAACAAAAAAACTAAAACCAAACTACGCTCTTTTGACAGTATTTATAAGAAAAATACTGGCGATACCAAATGTTTCCGCACATTAAGTCAATTTCGAATATTTTTGGAAATTGTACACTTTTAATGCGAAAAGGTGATATTATTATAGATGAATTGAATCTGAAATTTGAGCATGCCCCATTAGAGCTCATTACATTATTCTTATACAATATCGTTGGGTGACGAATCACTTAACAAAACTACATAAAAAATGCCAAAAATCTTGCTCACCAAAAGTCATTCCACACAATCCAGTGATCAGTGTGAGGAATGTGACCCATCCAATAGGACCTCTCATCGTGAGTCCAAAGAACACGAAGCCGATGACCAAGACAATGACCGACTGGGCTATCATCACCAGCATTTGTACCGTGACGTGTGAGAACAGAATCTCTGTACCTGTAATAAAAACATAAAAAAGTAGTTTAATTATTTTTCATTTTCTAAATACAAAAGTATAATATCAATTATTAGAACATCCCAGTTCAAAACCAATGCAAAATCGATTCAAAAAAGTTCCGAATTCTTTCAATCGGGCTTATCGTTGGATTTGATTTGAACCTCATTTTATTTTTATATTTGATTGCTGTTTAAATAAAAATACAACTTCACGCACGACGCAGATATACCCAACACTTTAAACAATGCGCGATTTTCACTACCCATCTTGATACTTGAAACAGTAGACAAGATATAAAAATCTTAGACTGAATCCTCCCTTTCATGTAAGACTGCGTACATAGCAACATTATGATTGACCCTACGCACCCAGTTCTCTAGTCACTGCACAAAGTTATATGTTAGTTTGGTTTTTAAAGCACCTCACATCACATATTTAATCAATAAAAGGAAATCCTTTTTCATTTTCCATTCCATTCCATTTTAACCAATAAAAAGCTTTTTACAAATGTGAAAAGCTTTTATAAAACCTGTCCACATGATTTGAAGCCCTACGGTGGTTGCTTCACTTTGTATGCTCATCTAACCAATCCAATCATCTAACCATTCAAACTAAACTGACGCTATATCAGAGCAATTCTGTCTATCAGGCTAACTTTAGGATCTCGATCAATATTTATTTTACGCTACTCCTCTTAACACACATATTTAAACACAAAGTTTATACGGCGAAGTTATTCGCTACACTAGCACTTGCTTTACTTTGACAAACAAGAGGAATAGTAGGAATATGTTCAGTCCAGTTTTCAGATTTTATTGCACATCAGAAGACTTTAAAAAGGCAAATATTTGCATCAGCCGTCCGGACTCGGTTGGTTTAGTAGCGCGTAAGTATTTATTTACAAGTGAAGAATTAGGTCATTTGTAATAGGAAAGATCATCCCCCGCTGCTTTGTTTACCTAAGTCTTGTAGTTTGGTATTTATGGGATACGTATGGTTTTTTTTTGGTTTTTTGATTGGATGACCTCTCAGCCCAACTGTTGTTTAGTGGTTACCGGAATCAGTGGGTCATAGGCATCACAACGCGTCATTTCAACATCTGCCTTCGGCCACATAAGGTCGTAATCTCCATGGTATTATAACCACCTCACAGCTTGGACACCTAACCTTCTTTATTCGAAGTTGGGGTAAAAATGTTAATGCATAATTATCAAGCGAAATAACCTTATAAAAACGTAATTAGGTGCGTATCGTAATTAAGAGGGCCCTTGTACTCGTCCGCCCTCAGCGCAGATTAACTACGGTCTAAACGTTAAGCCGAGGGCTTTTTAAATAAAGCTGCGGCTTCATTATGAAAAAGCTCCACTTTGACACGCAATTGATAAGCTTTCGTGCTGTGATTTCATTAGAAAGTTAATTCATCAATTTAATTGTTTCTTACTAATCAAATAAATAGTAGGTAAAAAAATTAGATTGGTATGGAATACATAAAAAATCTACTAAATCGCACAAAAAGAATCTAGTCTTTATGAACTTATTATTCAACTTTAATTCTTTAGAATTTCTTATTCAACCGAATTTCAGTATACATACATATAAAGATTTGCGAAAATTGTCCATTTGTGAGCTTTTTCCACGAAGCTTTTCTTGAGCGTTCTTGGAGCGTTATTTATTAGATACAAATTTCGGCCTTTAAATTTGTACTCTCAAACTCCACTACTCAAACTTTATAACAAGATATACAAAAAAACTATGCAGACGTAGCCAGCGTATGAATAAAAATAAAAAAATCAAATAACAAACAACTTTAATAGAATGAATTTTACTGGTTAAATTTATTTTAAATTTTTACTTGTGATTCCGCACGGGTAGGTACCACCGCCCCGCCTATTTCTGCCGTGAAGCAGTAGTGCGTTTCGGTCTGAAGGGTGGGGTAGCCGTTGTAACTACTGATACTACTGATACTGAGACCTTAGAACTTATATCTCAAGGTGGGTTGCGCATTTACGTTGTACATGTCTATGGGCTCCAGTAACCACTTAACACCAGGTGGACTGTGAGCTCGTCCACCCATCTAAGCAATAAAAAAAAGAATTAAATTATGAATACATATTATGGATATTTCAATAAATGGATGGATAGCATATCAAGTACGAACAGTTAATTGCTCCAGCAATTAGCAAATATTTCAAGTTACTTTTGTTCTTACTACAATAGTTGATGATCCTCAAATCAGATACCTCGGTCCAACAAAACAGATAATTCCAAAAAATAACCTAACTATGACAATTTGTGCATGCAACCGTTAGCCGGTAATTATTATAACTAGCGACCCGCCCTCGCTTCGCTTCGGAAACATTAAAACACACATGAAACTAAAAAAATTAAATAAAAAAAATTAAAAAAAAGTAGCCTATGTTCATCAGGGACAATGTCGGCTTCTAATGGAAAAAGAATTTTTCAAATCGGTCCAGTAGTTTCGGAGCCTATTCGAAACAAACAAACAAACAAATCTTTCCTCTTTATAATATTAAGTATAGATATAGATATGATCGGATTCAAATTAAAATTAGGTTTTTGGTAAATTGTCACGATGTACTGGCATCAACGATTATAACAGAATTGCCTTATTTAATTAAATGTCGAGTTCCCCTTTAATCCGCGTTAGAGCAGGCAGTCCAACACATTTAATTACATTTATTAAAGGTTGGCCCTTACAGAGGAGCTTTGTTTTTTATTCCTTTTTTTTTGTATCGACTTAATTTTACAAGCATTTTTTTTTTCTTAGCGGATATCAAAATATAGATCGAACAAATTTCAAGTATAAAAATATCAAAAAACGATTCAAAAAACTAAGACCGCTAACTAATCTATAGAGTATTCCTGTAAACCAGTTTATATAATTTATAATAAATAAGAATATCAATATGGCAGTCTTTGAATTGGTGAAGTCACCAATAATAAATATCGACAAGGCAAAATCAGACCATTGCCAAGGTACAAAGTTTTTTAATTTCAAAAGTAGTAACATAACATTTTTTACTGGTGGTAGGACCTCTTGTGAGTCCGCGCGGGTGGGTACCATCACCCTGCCTATTTCTGCCGTGAAGCAATAATGCGTTTCGGTATGAAGGGTAGGGCAGCCGTTGTAACTTACTTGAGACCTTAGAACTTATATCTCTAGGTGGGTGGCGCATTTACATTGTGGATGTCTATGGGCTACAGTAACCACTTAACACCAGGTGGGCTGTGAGCTCGTCCACCCATCTAAACAATAAAAAAAAAATTAATTGTATTAGTTTATTCGTAATTTTTTTGAAGGCAACTCACCAGTGATTCCTGAAACTAGAGTCCTTTCAAGGATGCCTTCATTTCTTTCAGCCAGCATAGACCCTGAAGTCAAAGCCACCGCCAAGAAAAATATGATACTGCAAAAAATAGTTCATTGTATTCATTCGCATTATTTAGAATCCTGTAAATTCAGTATATGTTGCTATTCCACTTACTAAAATTAATTTTTGACTTACGTTAATATTACTCCCGGTCCAGCAAAATCGGTGAAGTTGGCCTCATCTAGACCATAGATAGGCTCATTGAACTGGGAAACAGAGAAAGTGCATTGTGCAAAAATATGATATGATTTACTTATAGACAATAAGTATACTTTGCTCCGAATTTACTTTGCTGACAAATAAGCTGCATTTAAATTTTAGTTTCGAAAGAGAATTAAATGCAGTTTTCATTTTAAAACGAAATTAGCTTATTATACGTGTAATTTATGTGAATCAAGCAAGCGGCAAGGCCTAAACTTGGCATTGGCCAAACTGTGGTATTTGCCCTGCACGGCCCCAAACAACCGTTCTTAGATTAGATATAGTTAGGATTGGTACCTATACAAATAGGATAGGTATACAAATAGGATCGGTACCTATGTAGTAGACGAGAGTTTCACATCAGTGCTATCAAATTATAAGCTTCTTTTTCTTTATTACTTAGATGGGTAGACGAGCTCACAGCCCACCTGGTGTTAAGTGGTTACTGGAGCCCATAGACATCTACGACGTAAATGCGCCACCCACTTTGAGATATAAGTTCTAAGGTCTCAAGTATAATTACAGCGGCTGCCCCACCTTTCAAACTGAAATGCATTGCTGCTTCACGGCAGAAATAGATAGGGTGGTGGTACCTACCCGCGCGGACTCACAAGAGGTCCTACCACCAGTAAATTAATTGAATCGATATAATTACTGATGATTTGTTTCTCTTATGAGCCAGGGCATAGCATTATCATATCTACGCCATTTTTTTTAAATAGCTATTATAATACCATTCACGCTTCCACCTCTATGTTTTATCTATGGCTATGGCTATGGTTTTATCTATGTTGTTTCTATGGCTACAACCGAGCTAAGCCCCGAGCTTGCCTGCCCAACCATAGCAATAAAAACCTTAATTCACGTAAAATCCTATGACCTCAATGAACCTTAAGACTTGAAGTATATCAGAACCTAGAAGTGTATTTTATCCACATGCTACTCACGTGCACCGGAATGGACATCATTCTCGAGGGTAGCTGACAGATCTTCGCCAGCTCCTGTGTAGCGTCCATGAACGCAAGCTGCAGATCGCGACTCAACATCCATTCGACTTGTTTATCTGGAAGACAGAGCTGTTGTTACACTCATATAAAATTAACAGATCTCCATTTTTTTTTTAAGGATTAAAATCGTGTAATAAAAACCAAACCCGTAAAATTAATAAATAACAAATCAAAATAATTTAACATAAATCAATTCATACAGTAGAACAAATCTTCCAATGCGCTTAAAAGACACGCACAGTTCCCAAGATACTGGCTGCGTTACCTCGTTGGATAGCCAGACTCACTCTCTGTGCAAAGTACCAGCCAGCATCACGTGTAGCCTCCTTCAAGCTTTTGGATCTCCATATTAATTTGTTTTAAAATATCGTGGTGAGAAAGACGACTGCTACACTCGTATCTACTATGTACTATTTCGGGTTCAAATACGACTAGTAAATGTACTACTATGTACGTAGTATGCCGGGTTCCAAACCTCCGGCTGCTTTCTGTGTAAATAAGTACGGAACTCTTCATTTCCAACGGAATCATTAATGAGGGAATATTTTCGTGTAATTAAAATCAAACTCGTAAAACTCATAGATTTACACAATTCCTGATATTTGTTTAGTCTTGTGCTCCGATTTGAAGGGCAGAATGGCCATCCTTAGAAACAAAATAACTTAAGCTTTGATCTAATACTTTAAATTGTGTGACGGCCACCACTTACAACCAGGTGATACAGTGAGAATGTTTCAATAGTTTTACTACAAAATAAAAAAGGTTAAGATCAAAAACAACAAATGTTATTACGTCGAAAAATTCTCTTTGAACCTTCAAAATAATAATACATAGTAATTAATCGTAACACGTTTACGGATTGATCAAAATGACAGTTCCCTGATGACCGGGTCACAACTTTGATTGGCTTTCATTGAAGGTGACCAAGTTTGTTACGTGTTAAACATATTTACATAGAACGGGCACGTTTGAATACATTTAATGACAATTTATATAGGTGACATCGTAATTTGTGAGCCCACAATTAGTTATGCCTTTCACCTGGATATTTTCATCAAAATGACATTTTAAATGTCATTAAAAACGGACAAAATGTGATAATTTTGTTCTTTTGGCATCTAATTATCTAAATTTTAGTGTTAATACTTAAAATAATAAAATGGAAATGACAAAACTAAAATCGGATGTAATAAAAGAAAGACGAAAAGAAAAAATCAGAAAGCACCTCCCTATGGCACGCTGTAATGGATATGCTATTGAAAATATAACCCAAGGAGGATTGAGATTGGGCAAGTGGCCGGTCTTATAGCTTTTGCCTAGTTTCGGTGCAGCATGATAAGAGAACACGTTGCGCTAATCACACATGATGTGAGATAAAACAAAGAAGAAGAAGATCACGTATGAAGATCAGAATACCTCTGCGACGAAACAGTCTTCGGTAGTGATTCGAAAGGAAGAAATACTATTATTGTAATCGAAACTGCGGCTTCATGAGCTCGCCTGGTAATTTTAACAACGTTATAAAAATCATTCGTGCTAATCAGCATGCCCAAGCTGAAATAAGGTTAGCTGAAGCAGCTATTGCTACAGATGGATAATGAGTATTTAATAGGAGTAACTCCAAAAATACTTCCTCGTATAAATTTCATCCTCTTTGTATATCTCTGCATTAATATCCCAAAACACTTTTACCATCTGGGTACGTTTTTACAAAAAAATATGTACCTGCTAAATTTTATAAAAATGATTTAGGTAAGCCCAATATTTGACAATATCAAAAATTTTGACATGAACTAATAGAAAATCAAATTTTATAATATTAATATGTCTAAGATAATCCTTTCATCGTTTTAGGGCGGATTCGACCAAACTTAAATTTAAACTCGAGTAACTATACGAGGAATAACCTATTCCATGATTTTAATCTCGAGTAAATTCATAGTCGTTTTTCCACGTATACTTGCGCTAGGAATAACAATACGCGAATAGCAGAGTGAATGGTGAACAAAAATAAAATCCGGCAAATAAATGTTGTTGTTCAACGGCATAGTGTAAGAGCATACAAATCGTCAACTCGATTTTGCCGTATTTTAGTGTGAAAAAGTAGCTGTTGTGTAAGATATCCAGCTGTCAAACGTATTATTTTTATTTCTTGTTTGTTTGAGGGAATTGTCAAGTTTTGTCGTGTGGTTTTATCTTTTTTCGTTTAAACGTTGCATTCAGACTATTAATAATCATTTAGTGCATTGCGTTGACTTGAAATTAAAACAGAATAAATATTTATGAAATGACAGAAATCAGATGTTGGACTGACAGACGCCATTACTTTATTCTAGGAATAGCTCCGTTATTCCGTGCGAAACGGCGGTATAGTAACAATTCCCGAATAGGCCCACTATTCTTAGAATTGTAGTTGGTAAAACGTAAAATTGATTTACTCTCGATTAACTGACGAGTTATTCTAAGAATAAGATTTACTCTTGTTTGGTCGAATCGACCCTTAATGAGTATTCGAAAAACTTATATGAATTTCTGTGATTAATTTGAAGTATATTATAATTAACATGCCAAATACATCTGTTTCGAAAGTTGAACTTTTTAATAGAAAATTATAAAATTTTGCGTTAAAAGCAGCATTTAATGGACACGAGGCTCTCATAAAAATAGCTTTTTTTTTATTGCCTTTGTAGGCAGACGAGCACGCAGCCCACCTGATGGTGAGTGGTTACCGTCGCCCATGGACTTCAGTACTGCCAGGGGCAGAGCCGAGCCGCTGCCTGCCGCTGAAATATAGCTCTGTCTTCTGAAATATATTAGTAAGTGTAGGGCCTAGTATAGCGAAGGGCAGTAGGTCAACAGACCCACGTGACAATCTACTACGTTTTTTTTATTGCTTAGTTGGGGTGGTGGTCACAAAAGGTTCTACCACCAATAAAAACATCTAATCTAAACATAGCGCTGCCATAAATATAGATATTAAAATACAAAGGTCATCCAAATTTACGAATGCTATTCAATTTTATTTTCTAATAGTTTTATGATGTACATAATAATAATATGTAAAATGTCGTGAATGAAATGGAGATATCTCGAAATACACAACCTGTGAGATAATCCACGACTCCAACAACTCCATCAGCAATATCCGATTAAGAAGATATTTTAGGGACTAATGCTAATTTCGAAACCATAACAAAAATTATTAGAAAAATTCACACTTTCGGCAAGTCCAAAGCATAAAAATAATCAAAGTTTGCTAATTAGTGAAAGTAACCCTTCCTTTTTTTGGGAAATGGAATTTTAAATTTTGTTAATGGAAAGAAGTGGTGTCATTGAAAGTACCCAAGAATCTATAGACTCAACACAGCTACAAAAACGATAATTTCTTTGTTCAACTGGGCTTAACGTTGTACGACAAGCTATACATTAGAGCTGCCTATCCCTACCTTATGCAGTATCATTGCCTATTTCCACCACCGATATGTTAATCAAAAATCATCCTTAGACAATAATGCGTTTATAATTTTTTTTCTGAATTTCTCAAAATTACAACCGCAAATCTGTCTTGCAAAAAGATAGGTGTTATCAAAAGGCTTCAAGGAAATAGTTTTTAAATGCACGCTTTCAATTTTCGATAGTTATCCCGCAGTAAAGCTAGGCTACCGAATAAAATCGCGCTCAAACTAAGCAAAGTAGTTTGTTAACGAAAACGTTGACCTCATTTTTACGAACACGATTTGGAATGTGGCAACTTCTTAATTGAAAATACCGCCATGCAAATTTTCGCTAAATATAATGTACTTAATTTTAATTGTAATGACTTTCAGGAAAGCCGCGAATGCATTTGAGTTAATGGATCTTTGGTGTTATTTATTGTAATAACAAAAAAAAAGACGTATGGTGTCGTGGGACACCGGTTAGGAACGAAGTTTCTTATTATAAAAATATTAATTTTAAGTTCTATTCGAGGTATAAAGAAAATAAAACTGGAGGTTTCGCAACAACCCACGGTAATTCGGTAACGTGCGAACTTATTGTGGTACACTTCATTCACGGTTGTTTGCATAAGAGTTAGTGTATTACTCAAAGGAACGCTCTGAGATCGTGGTCAACGAATGATAAAAAAATATGTTATTTTTGTACGTTATTACAAAGTTAAGTCGTGCAATGTGCATTACTAACAAAAATCTTACGTTACGGACGTTTTTTCCCGGTTAGGGTACCCCTCCGCATCGTCCCATAAGGAACTTCGTTCCAAAATATACTAGAAACTAGAGAATTTTACCATGTGTTTCATCCATAGGAATTTTCATGGAAACATTGAATATCAAATTGGTCTAACATTTAATATTCGTTCACGGCAAAGTTTTATCGCGAGGCACTTGGAGAACCATTCATTTTTACGTTTGCCCTTAACAAGAGAATTTGCCTTCCAATTATTAAAGTTCAAAATTATTAGCCAAATTTAAATTTGGTATAGATAGGACAAGTTATTTCCGCGACCTATTTTCAAGTGAGATAGGGATATTTTTGAAGTGAAAACTTCTTTAGAATCGTTGTGATTTCAAACCGGATGCAACGGAAAAAACGACAGGTAAGAGACACAAATACAAAAATGTGTAGGATGAAGCCAGCAAAGAATGAGACAGAAATATACATACTAATTAATACAGCGCCATCTGTGAGATTTTTTAATACTAACGTGTGTATGAAAGCTCTTGTGGTGAATTTTAATTTAGGATTATACGTGAAATTAAAATATCAATTCACAGAGGGCGCTACCTTACAATTATTTAATAATGACAAAATTTTACATATACTTAAGACGTTTAGGATAATTGTATTTTAATTTTGGAAGGTTTCACTTCTACCACGTGTGAATTGCACACATGTTTTTTTTTATTTCCATTAACAATTTAGTTTTCTTTTCTTACATCTTTACTTGCCAGATAATTATTTGCATTATATTCATGGTAACTGATAACGAAATAAAAGCGGAAAAGGGCAACTTCTACATTTATATTTGCTTCCAAAAACACATCACTAATATATGATCCAAAAAAGAGGCGTTGCTATAAAATCCATTATTGTATAACAGAAATGGTGAATATGATGTAGTCTAAGAGAAGTGGTCAACAAATACTTGAATCAGTACGTTACGTGTTTGACGTGTCGGAATATGCAGTACGGGGCTACGATATTCGAGAATTTTTTTGAGGCATTTCGAGTTTTGATTATGATTTAAATTTTAATTAAAGATCATTAATTAATAAAAATAGAAAAAGCTAAACGTGTGAATAAGAATTGAATGTCCAAATAATAAGCCCAACACAAGCGTCTATATCATATTAAGGTGACTTGTATAACTCGTTAAGTGTGGTTAGATGGTTAGGTGATTCTTCAGGCACATAAGTTCTAAGTCTCAATATAGTACATATTATTTTGAAAATACATTAATACAAACTATGCGTTACTCTTAGTGAATGAACAAACCAACAAAAACATTTATAACATTGTTCGAATTATAATTAGAAAAAAATATCAGACATTAATATTAATTTCCGAAGAAACACGAAAAAACATCAACAAGTCAAATTAAAAATTAAAATTATTAAAAGCATTCGTTACAATAATTTAACCAAATATCAAACAAAAATAAATTATACAAGAACAAACAAAATTTTGTCTTCTGTGAATAAAGTCAAAGTAAAAATGAATTAAAGTAATGTCAAACCTTGTAAATTCTACCGATCCTGTCGGATGTTTTAAATCTAATTTGTATGCAAATTATGCAAGTCCTTCGCGCCCCAATCTGACTCTGGTACAAGCCTAGTGAGACCCTTTAGAGGACGATGTAATACCACATAACACCAAGACTATAAACTGATCATGTTTTGAGTCGAACTCGTGACTTTTTTAAAGTGTCCATTACCTAGGTAAGACATATTGTGTGATTCGGTTACAACGAGGATTGGATCCTGTGACAGATACAGCTTCTCAAAATCATTACGCGTCAAGTATTTGATCAAGAATTAGATCTACGATGAAAGAACAATATGATTTAATCAAGCCAAGCCGTCGCACCCCCGGTTGACTTATTCCTATCGCGACAAAATCACTTTTTTCAATTTGAAGTGTACGATAGACGTGAGTCTGATGCAATAGAAGATTATCACTCATGACTCAAGTTAGCCGATAAAATTGCTGTCGCAACGAAAACGTTGCTTTGCTTTTTAATCTAATGCATAAAGACATCCATGAAACCCTAAAATAAGGGTTTACACCAGTATTCAGTGCAATTATCTGTGTTGTGAATAAAAAACACGCAGACAATGGGTCAGCAAAAACTTTGGACTGGTAAACCTTAACGACCACTAAGCGTTTCGGGTCAACTTACAACACTAAAAAATAACATCTACAAGTGAATGCATACTACGCATTGAAATTGTGTTTCAGATTGGGACTTTGATTAGAGGCTTTACTACGAGTATATCATGATATTAACCACGACGGCTACTACTGCGAAGCACATGACTGTCCCGAATGCTGAGTGACCTGATTACGAAATTTGGCAACGAATTATTACTGGTGCATTATTATATCATCTCATACTACCACACAACTGTAATGTATTACTGTGCCAAAACAACTATGGCTTCTTTATTTTTTCATTATTGTTACCTGACGGTAAGTAATTACGGTTGTTTATGGCCATCAACAATGAGAGGGGTCAAGGATGAAGCTGTTGCCTGCTGTTGGGGACTCCCCTCAAGCCTCGTTTCAAGAAGGACATGTTAGAGCACTCTCGGAAACACCGTGGAGGGGAGTTCGTATCCAAGACGCATGGTACGCCATGGTTTATCGATAAATTCAAGGGCGCTTTTCTATATTAAAGTGATTTAAACCATGTTCGACTCCTGACCACAAACTACATAAAATATCGCTGTTTGAAATACAAAATACAAATAAGCATGTTAATAAAACATTCTAATAAACGTTGGACCTATGATACTTTGTGTTTATGCTGCATTACTTTTCACTCCCGCACGTTCTGACGGTGAATTATTATTGTTCTTTGTTTTACATAAAACAACCCTTTTGTCAAAATTCGGGTGTAATTTTGATAGGACACGGAAAAATATAGCCGTGAGTCGCGACCCAGTCGGCAGATATGAACTGGTATTATGAAGACGAAGCTACGACGTGCTATACAAAAATCGGTGACAACTTCGCGCGTACGATGTGCCAGATCTTTCAAAATACCAGACTATTGTTTTAATAATTAATTACCAACTGCGCTCGTCTAAGCAGAGACCCGAGCCGACTTTTAATACGTCCTTTCACCTTTACTTAAGATAATTAAGAATATTTATGTATGTATATTAAGATGCAAACACTAATAAGAATACGCACGCAGGTCGTGTACCCGATATGACTGAATGGACTCTATACGCGTTACAGTTATATATACAATACATTATATTAACGACAGGTTATTTTTTTTTTATTGCTTTGATGTGTGGACTAGCTCACAGCCCACCTGGTGTTAAGTGGTTACTGGAGCCCATAGACATTTACTACGTAAATGCGCCACACACCTTGAGATATACGGTCTAAGGTCTCAATATAGTTACAACGGCTTAATTAAAGCGTTCATTAGGCTCTTATAATATCTTAACCTTGTTTTTATTGCTAAGGAGTATTACGAATAGTATGATCCATAATTATAAATACACACATATGACGATTGTTTATCTGCTTTTCAAATTTGAACTATAAAGATCCAAATTTACGGATTTAAATAATTTAAAGAATACTTTAGCACTAGTGGTCCCACAGTAGTCGAAATTTGACTATAATTACCTAATTGAAATTATAAGTTGGTACATTATTATGGCTCTATTAGTCAGACTGCTAAACTTCTATAATCACACATTCCGCCAAGACTACACCATAGACAAATAATATTAAAGACAAACAATATTAATTTATTTTTAATTTAACCACAGACTATAAAAAATAAGAAAACTTTGACAATAAGCAAAGTATATGCGTGTGTGTGTCAAATACATGGTAGTATGCGTAATGTTTTTTTTATTGATTTAATGTAATATTAATGCATAATTAAAAACAATTTTAACATTCTGCACTACTTTTCTATATTCTCTATAGGTGTAGGAAGATTCATACTCCTCCGTCCGCGCAATTTTCGTAAAAATGGGTACAAAGTTTTTGTTTCACGTATTAATATATAGATATCTTGAACGACAGTGGAACCGCGCCAGGATCAATAAATGTCAATAATAATAAATAATGATACTTGTCAATTAATAAATCAGTCAATCAATATACTGGGTCAATAAACATACCTGTATTATCCATGTGGATCTCTACATCGGAATTCATAATAGTGTAGTCATCTGTGCGACGTGGATTCGTGATTCTTTCTTGAAGACAAGTTGAGAAATTGGCAGGGAACACCAGGACAACCCTGGCTTTGCCGTGGGCTGCTTCCGACATGGCTTCTTCAGTGTTGGGGTACAGGATCTATGAGAGGAAAAATTCATTAAAATCCGCTGATATATAGACAGATTGCTTAACGAGACTTACAAACCGAACAATAATTGTTCCACACTGGTGGTAGTACAATAAGCTGGTGGTAGGACCTCTTGTGAGTCCGCGCGGGTAGGTACCACCACCCTGCCTATTTCTGCCGTGAAGCAGTAATGCGTTTCGGTTTGAAGGGTAGGGCAGCCGTTGTAACTATATTTGAAACCTTAGAACTTATATCTCAAGATGGGTGGCGCATTTACGTTGTAGATGTCTATGGGTTCCAGTAAAGGTGGGCTGTGAGCTCGTCCACGCATATAAGCAATAAAAAAAAAAAACAAGATTTACGACTTTCTCTTCTCACCGACTCGAGTTACAATTCGCGTTATTGTGAAAAAAAAACATCGCGATCAGCAACAAAAGACGTATCTAATTTTAACTTCACTTAACCTAATTTCGTTTGTAACAATTAAGACTCTAATTCATCACTACAGACCATCGTGCCGGCTCCGATAATAGTTGAAAAGGAAAACAGCCGATTTATCAAGTGATAAATGATTGTAGTTTCTATTTCTTGACGATCTTTTTCGAAAAATCGATATACCTATTGCTTCGGAATCGTTCAGAAACCCGGGGATTCATAATGTCTGTACCCGTCACTGTTTCTGATGAAGAAAAATCGTTGCAAAACCTCAGTTCGGTTTTTAAGTGTATTGGAATTATTTGATCATTTTGTAGATGAAACAAGGGTCATAGAATACATAACTTTTTACTGGTGGTAGGACCTCTTGTGAGTCCGCACGGGTAGGTACCACCGCCCCGCCTATTTCTGCCGTGAAGCAGTAATGCGTTTCGGTTTGAAGGGTGGGGCAGCCGTTGTGACTATACTGAGACCTTAGAACTATATCTCAAGGTGTGTGGCGCATTTACGTTATAGATGTCTATGGGCTCCAGTAACCACTTAACACCAGGTGGGCTGTGAGCTCGTCAACACACCTAAGCAATAAAAAAAAAAATTTATTACATTATTTGAAATATATTTTTTTTGCTTAGATTGGTGGACGAACTCACGGCTCACCTGATGTTGTGTGGTCACACGAGACCATAGATATCTATAACGTAAATGCCGCCACCTACCTTGAGATATGAGTTGTAAGGTCTCTGTATAGTTACAACGACTACCCCACCCTTCAAACCGAAACGCTACTTCACGGCAGAATATAGGCAGGGTGGTTGGTCCTACCCGTTTGGACTCACAAGACGTCCTACCACCAGTGATTACGCAAATTTATGCGGATTTAATTTTTATTTACACGATATTATTCCTTCACCGTGGAAGTCAATCGTGAACATTTGTTGAGTACGTTTTTCATTAAAAAAAAGAGGTACTCCAACACCTACATATTATGCACTTTCAAAACCGCCACTCGCTCCTTTCTGAAATGTAATAGGTAAGTCTATTCTATTTCCTAAATGCATTGAGAGCTTTTTGTCTCAATATCGACAGCGGTCACGTTAAACAACGAATCAACTCACCAGATTGCTCTGCCGCTTCGATAGGAAGTCCAAATAACGGCAGCTAAAGTTCGTCAAATGCCAATCGTACGTGCTGCGGTCTTGAGGGCATTTCTTCTGGTCATAATAACACAACGGATCGCTGCTGTGAGACTCGTAATTCACAACCGCTATGGGAAGACCAACAGGATAATGACCGATAGCGAGGCAGAATAAGACCATTTGCGATATCGGTAAGCCCATTATGAACGCTAATACACTGAAATATAAAAAAAGATAACAATTAAACTAGGTATGCATTCGTCTCAATATTTCCAATAATCGGGTCCTAATAGCTAAACTTTGCGATATCAGCGTGGTATTATCTTATCTTATACCTTTAAACGAGCAATTTTTGTAGATTAATATATATACAATCTGAATCTCGGAAACGGCTCCAACGATTTTCATAAAATTTAGTATACAGGGGATTTCGAGGGCGATAAATCAAGCTACGATTTATTTTCAGAAAATCTTGTTTTATTCGTGTTTTCAATAATCAACTCTTCCCGACATCTATTGGCGAATAATAATACTATTTTTTTGATTGAGGGCAACTAACCGCTTTAAAGACACAACAAGATGGCGTTATCAAAAAAAAAGCAAAGCAAAGCTCGGTCATCATCTAGTATCGTTTAATCAAGCCCATTATCAATAATTCGGGGTGCTTCAAAGCTTTTATGTTCTTTGATGGCTTCGACGACGAAGTAATGGTGTGTAAAAACAACCCAGAGAAAATGAAATTTATAACATAGCTTAACCAATTGTATTATGGCTCGTTCTGGTGACCAGTAAAGTGCTCCATATATTAGCGTAAATAAATACTGGTCATAAGGTACTTTGTGAAATCACGTAAGTTAGTACTATCTGCATTTGTACATATATCTGATGTGACACATCATGTGTACAGCTTTGATAGATTGGATAGTTATTACTCCATTGCAGTTGAGATTATCACCGCAATCATTATGATGGATAGCCATATTCCTTCTGGTGTCTGTGGGCTCTGATATCCCCTAATCCAAGGTCTTACCTGTGCAGACTAACACAAAGCCCTTCCAATAGTCCTGAATGAAGATTCAGAAGAGTATAATTTATTAGGAATAAGATAAAGATACAGATACAAATAAGATACGCTAAATCGACATTTGGATAGAGGCAATCGGCAATTTAGACTTTTCATCAATAGACTTTACTAACGTTGAATATAACATAATATAATAAAAAAGATTAAGCCGTAAAAGTTGATTTAATTATTATGATAATAACAATAATAATAGCGGACAAGCCACATCCGGTCATCTTGCCTCAAACCAGGATTTCCTATACTGTGGGAACAGGAAATTGATCTAGACGTATGTATACGTTTAAATAGACACATAGTATAAATAAACTAAGCACCCAGACAAAGAGCACACAAAATATCTCTTTTGCACAAGAATATTTGAACGATGTGAGATTCCGACCAACGACCCTGCGCCTAACAATCCGGGCCACTAATTACTAAACCAAGTAAGTCATTAAATACTCCATTCAAAAATCTCACCCAAAGTTCCTAAATAGACTCCAGAAGTTCTTCCATATTAGAGCTTTCATGTGATGCCATTTCATTGGCATGATCATTTCCATTTTTGTTCTCTTCGGTTTCTCTTCAGGAGGTATAGCTTCTACTGGAATAGGCAGGTCCGGTGCCACTACAACCCTTCCTTTACTGCTCATCGAGACGTTGTCACCGAACTCTCCGGAAATCTCTCCTACTTCTGCTTCCTCCAAATCTATGGCTGATGGATCCTGAAGAATTTTTTGCAACTTGAAATTTTCGATGGTTTTTACAATATGTAATATGCACATACACGCTGATAAACAAATAGGAAATAGGAACTGTGTATGAGAAATAACGTTAATGTTGAAAAAATTATTAATAACGAAACTCACTTCAGAAAATAAAACAAAGATAAATTTGCAATGTCGAATAAATGACTTAGGTACAGAAGCAACACAGATGATACAGTTGGTCTAAGCTTTTCTTAAACATTTGGTGGGTGGCGCATTTAAGTTGTAGTTGTCTATGGGCTCCGGTAACCACTAAACACCAAGAGGGCTGTGAACTCGTCCACCCATCTAAGCAATAAAAAAAAATCTAAAAAAAAAAAAAACAATGTGTATTAGAAAAATTTCCAAAACCATAAACGTTGATAGAGTCTGAGATTCCTAGCACGACGATACCAAAATATTCAAAACTAGCGACCCGCCCTCGCTTCGCTTCGGAAACATTAAATTTTATTAGTGATAATAGCTGAGTCCCGCGCGGTTACCCGCGGTTATTATCGTACCGCGGGTGACGCCACGGAGCGATGCTAGTCTTAAAAAAGTAGCCTAAGATACTCCTTATATCATCAGCTACCTATCAGTGAAAGTTTCGTCAAAATCGGTCCAGCCGTTCCAGAGATTAGCCGGAACAAACAGACAGACAAAAATTGTAAAAAATGTTATTTTGGTGTATGTACCGTATATATATTCATATGCATGTAGTAAAAAGTAGTTATTTCAATATTACAAAGAAACACAGAAACTCCAATTTTATTTATATGTATAGATTCGATTTTCCAACATCGTACATGGTTCAACTTACAGGCATAGTGGGAAGCTCAACTTTTTCCACGACATCAGCGAGAATGCTAGATCTTCGGCGCTTGCCTAGATTCTGTAGCACTGACAGCTTCAGGAACACTTCTTCAAGGCTTTCGGCGTTGTAGCGGCTGATCAACTCGCTTGGAGACTCTTCAGCCAAAAATCTACCGCCTCGCATAAGGCCAATCTGGAAAACAAAAAGTTGTGTATATGACTGAATAATCTCATGGCTTATAGTTTCACGCGTTTACAGATGCCTCACAATATGAATGCTACAACTCAACTTGGGATATAAGATCGAAGTCTCCAGAACGCATGTCTGTTCAAAGACAGCAGGATGTCTTCTTCCTACCCGTGTAGGCTGTAGTAGCAAGCGTTCTTTAAAGTAGTAGAAGTAAAAAGCAGGAGTAAAAAGGAAATGATGGAATAATTCCAAATGAAGAATCGATGTAGGGCATTGAAATAAATAAAAAAATACATGTGTGCAATTCACACGTGGTAGAATAATATATAATAATCTAATAATAATATATAATACCTTCAAAAATTAAAAAGCAATTATCCTAAATGTCTAAGTATATGTAAAATTTTGTCATTAGTAAATAATTGTAAATCATCTTTTATAGTATGAGGTAGCGCCATCTGTGTTGACTTATTTTTTCGTTTCATCGAGTTTGAAATCACAACAATTCTAAAGAAGTTTCACTTCAAAACTATTGTTCTCGAACACAAATGAGAAGTTTTCAAAGAAAAGACGAAACTGTATACTACTTACTATAACAGTATAGCGATATCAACCATCTACAAAAAAAATATTGTCCGTTAGTTAATTAAAAAAAGACTAAAATCAAACAATATTTGCCGACTGTAACCTTTGAATTCGCGAATATTTAATTAATAAGCTCATTTTAAATCTCCATTGCCAACATCTATCTATACATCTGACACAAAAAGGTTGAATTAAAATAAATACATATATTAATTAAGAAGAATAATAATAAAATCTTGGATAAAACGAAGCCAATAATCAACGTATCTTTTTAACCGTACTTTTTTTGTTAAACATTGTTTCAGAAAAACCTGTTTAAAGAATAAATGTATACAATACTCAAATCTTGCCTATCGAAGTTTTTGTTTGTACATTTTTTGACCGGAAGACGTTACTGCTCGCTGGAGTTCTGAATAAATTATATAATATATTTTGAATCGTAATGCAATTCTCGCCCAAACTGATTTTGAAATAAAAATTCTTGAGCATTTTAGACGCGATTTAAATTTGTTTTATATTTTCCAATACGACAGGCGAAATAACGATATCATTATATCAGGACGTACGCCTTAAAAAACCTTTATATATAACTAGCGGCCCGCCCCGGCTTCGCTTGGGTAGTAGTGCATGCGATGTAAAGATTTTGAAGTAATTTTTTTTACACATTGGGTTACATTATTGAAGTTTCAGTAAGGATCCCTAATTTTTTTGAAAATATAATAAATGTAGCCTATGTCACCCGGGGATAGCGTAGCTTTCCAACAGTGAAAGAATTTTTCAAATCGATTCAGTAGTTTCGGAGCCTATTCAATACAAACCAACAAACAAATCTTTCCTCTTTGTAATATTAGTATAAGTATAAATACCGGTTTAATTAATTTTAGTATACGATAAATTACTACAAATATTTTTGATGATGGAAGAACTGTCGTTTGATTGTTATACAAATTCAGCACTATATGTCTTGTTTTGTCGTGCGCACATAACTTATGTTGCAAGCCAGATTTTGTTTGTTTTTATTTGTGTTTTTTATGTATCTTTAGCTTGTGATGTGTATTGTGAGCCTAATAAAATAAATAAATAAATAAATAAATAGATTGACTGAATGATGTAGAAACTAAAACGTAAAAAATTGGATTCTCGTCTTAATCGTATCGTACAAAGGCGATAAAATAAAATAAATAAATATCTGATATCTGATCTAATACTAGGGCAAGTGTAGATGTCCATGGGCTCCAGCAACCACTTAACACCAAGTGGGCTGTGAGTTCGTCCACCCATCTAAGCAATAAAAAATAAATAAAAAAATACTACTGAAAATATAACCCAAGGAAAGCAAGCATGGCATGAGATTAGACATGCGGCCGGTCGTAAAACCCAGACCATATCCCTATGCATCATAATAAGGGAACATGCTGCGCCGACCCCACATAATGTAGGACAAAGAGAAGCAGAAGAAGCTACTCACCATGTTAGCTTGTTTTGTTTCGTCGATGTAATGAGTAGTTATGATCACTGTTGTCCGACCTTCCTTTGTTATATCCACGAGATGATCCCAGATGCTGCAAAATAAATTCCCGAATCATTCCTAGTTTTTGTATGAACCGACAAAAATGTCTGGACAAAAAGTTGGTGAACAGATAATGCTAATATATTTGTAACTCGATTTTTTATTTTTCCGGGCTGCGGACATTCGGCCCGTCTTAAGGTGAATAATTGAGGTCGTCAGCGCAAAAGTGGCTTAAACTTACCATAGTTAGTATGGAGATAACGAGGCTTGAATTTACTTTTACACTGCTTCGCAGGGAAAAACAATACGCGCAAAAATAATGCCTACAAAGCCATCTGTTATCTATGGTTGAAACTAGGTATAGGCCAGTTTTGCATCACAATTTATGATGTTTTAAATAATGTAATACATAAGCATGAAAATGAAAAATTGTGGGCTAAACCACTTTTCTGCTGATGGTCTCAATTATCGATTAAATAGAAATATCATAAATTAAATACATTAAGCCAATGATCAAATTTTAATGTTTCCTTCTCACAAGTTCCAATCGTGCAATTTTAATGCATGTCTCTCGGTCTTCGATAAACAGGAAAGTCGTACCTTTGTCTGAGCACAGGATCCACTCCAACTGTAGGCTCATCCAGGATAAGCAGCTCAGGATCGTGAATAAGGGCAGCGGCTAAAGAAGTCCTTCTTTGTTGTCCACCGGATAAATTTTTGACTTGTCTGTCGAAAGGATTTCAATTGTACCAACTTTAATTGTGATTCTATGTGAAAACCGACGAAAACTTGTTTAACAGACATAACTTCTTTTAGAGTTATCGTTTAATCTCTTCATAGCTTTATGTTTATTATTTCCGTTGTTTCGAATAGTCTACAAGTTTTTGTGTTCAAGAACGAGGGAGTTGTGTGCATCGATATGAATATTCTGCTAATTACAGTTTTATAAAAAAATATATAATAGCATTTAAGTTTCTTCACACGCATTAGGAACTAACAATATGTTAGGATTTGGTACATTTTCAGCTAGATTAAGCCGTAAAAGCAGTCTTAACCAGACCAGAATGGATACGCCCTCTTAAAAGAATTACTTAGTCTAAAATACGGTATATGAGGTCAACATACTATGTATCCTAACCTAGCAATTATATTATCATTAAGAAGACATGGAATCCCGCAGCTACTAAAACTGTTTAAGCCCCAGGATATTTCTAATATGGAGGATATCCTCAATCGGTTATTGTACCTAACTTCCTCTGCTCCACTCTTTATTATATTTGAAAAGAATTGTTATCGGAGCACATAACATTCCTGTGAATGGCGACCCGCTCACCTTGAGATTATGAGGTGGAAATATCCAGTGTATAACACAACGACTGACCCACGCCCCAAACCGGAACGCATAATTGCCTCATAACATATGTCAAGATGGTGGTATTTATTGGTGCAGACTTCGAATACCACAACCACACCAGCAGAAAAGGTCTAAGATGTGAATAACACCTCCCTTTATTTTTGTCGTGATCTTAGTATCAACTCTTACCTTGTAGGATTAGGTAACTGCAATAACTTGATGAGGAAGTCTATTCGTTCTTCTACTTGTGGAGTGGACATGTTCGCGATCCAACCGAAATATATTAGTGTTTCTCTGATCGAGAATTCGCCGAAGAGCGCGACTTCCTGTGCAAAGAAATTTCTATTTTATTAGATATTGAAGGTATCGCTACTAAGAATTAAATGTAATATTTGATCAGGGCGGTCTATCTCGGATACTAATTACCCAACTTCAGTAAGAGTCGTCTTTTTTTTCCTACCTATGCTGATAGCCTTGAGAGGCTATTTCAGCTTCACCCTAACGTGTAGGTGAGCTCACGGGGCTCAAGCCGGAGTGGTGCTAACACTGGCCCTAGCAAGAGCAGTGCTTCGCAGAATCTACCACCGGGTCGGAAACGCGACCCACTGAGAAGATCCGGCGAGAAACTCAGTGGGCTGTGTCTGTGGGTTAATTCGCTCGTAGAGCCCTTCGTCGCATGCGACGGGTTCGACGAGGACGGTGACCGGTGCTTGTGGTATCTAAAAGCACCGTTAATGGATCGGGAAAGAGTCCTCAATAGGAGACAATGGCGTAGGTATGCCCCTGTATTTGCTTAAATCAATGCTCTTATAGCTACAAGCAGAAATTATCGTCTGCAAACGATAGCAATCCACAAATTTTTTACACGCAATTATAACCTCGTCACCTACAATATTCTCCAATCAGACAAAGTCATTAAACCATTTTCATTTTGACTTTATGCTGTGTACAAGATAAAAGTTTGACTCATAAATAAATGTCAAATTAGTGAGCATCAGCCGATAGACCTCAAAACAATTTTAATAATTTAAATTTGTTGCGGTCTTATTCATAGTCAGTTTTAATTTGCTTAAGATGTCAATATAGCGCGTTCATTCTCGGTACTACATGAAAATGAACATTGGTTGTTTGCGTACAAGCATCATCATGCTAAGTCTGGATCGGATATGTGGTAAAAGACGAACGAATTCTTTATGTATTTATATTATTTTAAATGTTATATATCTTTCATAAATAGATCTTTCGAAGAGGCCCAAGAAACGCTGATCGGATGTAGTAAAGGCAGATACTCTTATAATACTCTTATAGATAGATTTTTACTGGTGGTAGGACCTCTTGTGAATCTTGTGGGGAAGTCGTTGTGGTCTAAAGGATAAGACGTCCGGTGCATTTGAATGTAGCGATGCACCGGTGTTCGAATCCCGCAGGCGAGTACCAATTTTTCTAATGAAATACGTACTCAACAAATGTTCACGATTGACTTCCACGGTGAAGGAATAACATCGTGTGATAAAAATCAAACCCGCAAAATTATAATTTGCGTGATTACTGGTGGTAGGACCTCTTGTGAGCCCGCCTATTTCCGCCGTGAAGCAGTAATGCGTTTCGGTTCGAAGGGTGGGGTAGCCGTTGTAACTATACTGAGATCTTAGAACTTATATCTCGAGGTGGGTGGCGCATTTACGTTGTAGATGTCTATGGGCTCCAGTAACCACTTAACACCAGGTGCGCTGTGAACTCGTCCATCCATCCAAGCAATAAAAAAAATATGGAGAAGAATAAGGATGTTCCTCATCCAGAAGGATGCAGAAAAACAGACAAAGTGGAGGAGTTTAAGGAGGTAAAGCGGACCCTGGCATTAGACTAGACCGGAAAAACGCTAGAAAGAACAAGATATCAGATTCATAAATAGAGTTGCAGGTCTAAAGACTTTCCAAAGATTATCAAAACGGCCGTCTGGTGTAGTGGTAAGTGACATGGTCACTACACAAGGGGGTCGCGGGTTCGAATCCCGCCAAGGGAAGATATTTGTATGATAAATATAAATGTATTTTCCAGGGTTATGGATGTTTATTAAATATATGTATGTGTATAATAAAAATCTTACATTTATTTCCGTTATCTGGTACCTGTAACACAAGTTCTTTACGAACTTATCACGGGACCAGTTAACGTGGCGTGATTGTCAGTAAATATAAAAAAAAAAATGCCTTTGGCCCCAAAGAATCCAATATGAATTTGATTAATTCGAAAAAGGAATTTCGTTTCAATATCGAATTCCAAAATAATTTGGTTAAAAACAATTATGAATTACTTTAATGACACAATTAATAGGGTAATAGATTTGATAATTAACTATATCGTTAATTTATATCAAATTACGTATGATTAGTTAAGTGCGGTCACGACTGTCTAAATATAACGTCACTAGTGTTCATCCGATTCTCGAAATTCGACCAAATTAACTGAGGTCTCAAATTGTACATCCATTTTATCTAGCTACCACATTTCCTCTAATGCTTTTGCCTCTCTCTATTTTGCCCTCTATCTATAAAAAAAAAAAGAGTTTAAAAAAGTTTTCTTGGCAATATTCAACCTCTATTTACAGCTTGTTAACAATTAATATATGTTGGTTAATAGAATTTAAAAAAACACTTTCAAATAGTAAGCCGAACTAACAATTAATTCGATCTTTGTTTTTCATCATCGATACCAATGGAGATCATTCAATCGAAATTATAAAATTCTTGTGTCGTCACCGGTTCTTGGTGGGTGTGGAAATTTTCAAGATAATCGGTGTCAAGTTTCAAGATAATTGAAGTCGGTGGAAATGACGCTTATAAATTCAGTTATATTCAAACACGTGAAGATAATAAAAGCATGTCGAAAGAAGGGTTTGTGAGTCCGCACGGATAAGTACCTACCACCCTGCCTGTTTCTGCCGTGAAACAGTTCTGGGTTTCGGTTTGAAGGATGGGGCAGCCGTTGTACAACATCTACAACGTAAATGCGCCACCCCCCTTGAGATATAAGTTCTAAGATCTCAGTATAGTTACAACGGCTACCCCACCCTTCAAACCGAAAGGCATTACTGCTTCACGGCAGAAATAGGTGGAGTGGTGGTACCTACCCGTGCGGACTCACAAGAGGGCCTACCACCAGTAAATGCAATATTGCTGACAAGGATGACGAAGACAGAGCGAAGTGGCGGAGTAAAGTGAGAAAAGCTGACCCCACCACCATGTGGGATAAATAGCTAGGAAGTGAGAGAGAGAGAGAAACTAATTTCCGCCAGCTCATAAGCCTGCACGGATTCCTTCTCCACCACGTTGCTTGCTTCTGCGGCGAAGCAGTCATTAGTCACATTTGGAACAACCCTTATGCTATAATTGAGGCTTAAACTCTTGTCGCAAGATAGGCGGACGACATTCACAATGTGACATCTGTGGGTTCCCGGTAACATTTAAGACCAGATAGACCATAGCCCATTGCTATTGACGTCGGCACAGCTAATTTTTCTCTTTCATTCTCTTCTATCAGCTGTCATCTCAACACTCACTCTTCTCTCTCTCATATTGTCATTCACACACTCCTTTACGTCTTCTTCAGTCGACTTCTTCCCCCTCTACCTTGCACCTTTCTCTCTACGCATCACATGTCCATACGACGCTAACCGTCCGCTCTTTAAATATTTACTTACTTCATTATTTAAATACTATAAACTTAATTGTAAAACATCCGATATTCGGCTTAGGTAGGTCAGCAGGTGTTATGACCCATAGGCCTCTTTCGATTTTTTCCAAAAAAAACTGTGGTTGGCCTTACCCAAAATGGGCGATAACGTCCCTTTGTGGGCGCTGCAGGCCTAAACAGGGAAAGAGATCCACAAAAAAATGGGGGCTTGAGAGACGATTTGTTATTTCAACTAGGAGGACTGTTATACACCGAGTGAGCTCTCGCTATAATGGTTATGGAATGGGTGAATAAATGGGGGCGTTAAAAAGGAATTTATTCTCAACTCTTACTGGTGGTAGGACCTCTTGTGAGTCCGCACGGGTACGTACCACCACCCCGCCTATTTCTGCCATGAAGCAGTAATGCGTTTCGGTTTGAAAGGCGGGGCAGCCGTTGTAACTATACTTGAGACCTTAGAAATTATATCTCTAGGTGGGTGGCGCATTTACGTTGTAGATGTCTATGGGCTCCAGTCACCACATAACACCAGGTGGGCTGTGAGCTCGTCCACCCATCTAAGCAATAATAAAAAAAACGTGGGCATTAGACAAAAATGTTTGGGAAACCCTGAAAAGAGCCAGCGAGCAAACACCTCCCGCGATGTCTTGCTTGGTCATAAAATACAAAAAAGACAGCTGTTAGATTTTCTCCCCAAAGCTTTAGATTATTCAGGAATAATTCCGAACACCCTGTAGATATAGATAATCCCGATACGTCCGGAAAATACCGGCTTATTAGGTTTATTGTTATGTCGATAATGTTCATCGAGTGAACAATGGCTGACGGGAGAAACGAATTATGATACTTACGGGAACTAAAGTCGTTTATCGAGATTGTAGGTCCGCTATTGTAAGTCACATTTGCTATAAGATTGCTCGTAGAATGAAATATGAGTTTTTGTTTTCATTTCGCTTATATAGGCTTTTCATTATAAACACAATTGTAACTTAGACTAGATATTTCTTGTGTTTTAAAACCAGGTCAGTCTTCGAAACTTTACGGCGTTGAAGTATTGTTACGCCGGTAAGAGCAATGCCATCTATCGTCGAATAGCAGAAACGAATATCAAAATCACTAGTAAAATCGAGAATGCTCAAGAACTACAACGCCATCTATTGTCAAATGGCGGAAACACATATCGCAAATATTCGACTTGTGAGGAATGTTCTCGATAATTCTAGGGATGTCGTATTGGCTATAAAAGCGATACAGAGATGTCACAAAGACAGTTAGTAATCGGATCTACTCGAAGCGAAACAGCGAATGGATCACCTGAAGCGAAGCAGAAGAAGTGAATCACGAAGTGTAAAGTGTTCTGTGACTGTTTTAAGTGTTAAATAGAGTTTTAACTTCGCTTCGGTAGAATTTTTATTTATCACGAACCCCAGCGCGTAACAGTATTCATATTGTTACACGCTGGCCATGCTCGATCAAAAGATGGCAAATATCAGGATGGTGGTACCTATGCGTGCTGTCAGTACCACCAGTTTACGTTTAAGTAAATTCATGAAATTATTCGGGTTCGCTTTTATAACATAATATTATTGCTTCAAGGTCCATAGAGAAGAAAACTGCGTACGATATCCGTATG